AGCTACTTGCGACCGAGCTGCCTCAAGCGCCATCTCTTTTATTGTCATCAAAGGCAGCGACGAATCGAGCCCCGTTTAAATCTTTGGAGGCGTTGAAGCTACCTCAAAAGCACCACTCAGAATTTGGTCCAGTTCCCGAATCGCCTGCGTGCGCTGGGCGTTCGCCTATAACGAAGCGGAGGCGGTGGAGTGGATTAGACCGTAGTCGATTTTTCTAAAATGAACAGCTGCCTTGGTTGGTTGTGGCGGTTTCTTGTTGTCAGTGACCGTGTCCGTAGATGTATTTAGGCAGGAGCCTTCGAATTCGGAGAGGTGACGTTTTGAACGGTTATCCTTGTTGAAACGCAGAAGTGCGGGCAGCTTCACAGCAGGTCCTTTCGCCCGACTAAACGGAGCCGCAGCGGTGAGCACATCCCTCTTTTTCTTGTTCACGCCAGGATCGAATTACTCGTTCTTTATTGGAACACTAATGCGAGTAGCCCCACCCCGAGCGGCCTGGCCACCATCAAGCGGAGACGCGGTGGAAAAGGACGATTGCCCAGTACAATGAGGTACCGGACGGAACTTACTCAACAGATAGACCTTCTTGCTATCCACCTTGATCTTCTCCGAGATCGCTACCAAAGTATCCGGCAGTCCAGATACATGCTGCAGGCAACCGGCAACGTCCAAGTGGTTAAATTTAACCCGACGACGTGAGGAGGATGTTGAGATACCAGTGAACTCTCGGTGATGCTGAACTTAAAAAGGCATTTGTGTCAACGACACTTATCATTCGAGTGATATGGCGAGTTGCAGGGAAAATAGGGAGCGCTTTGGAGGTGACGAAAATGGTGGAGGAAGATCTCCGTGTCGTATGCTGCAATGTGCGTAACTAGTTCAGATAAGTTTTTCTGGACATGACACACTGTCGAAAGTTGCCTGGAAAAGACTGAAAATCAAATGACTTTAGGCCGTGTGAGCTCCCACGAGACACGGATGTGACCGCACATGCCACACTGGACGCCAAAATATATTGAGCCGTGCTTACCGCCACTCTATTGACCAACCCGGACTTGATAGTGCAGTTGGTGTCGACCGTTTGACGTGGCTGATAGCGAAGAAGCGTAACGTCTTCGCACTTTAAAGTAGCTGGGCACAACAGCTAATGACGCTTTCTGCGAAACAGGATCGTCTTCGCATGCCAGATCGCTGCTGCCGCTTGATTCCACACAACAAAGTCAGTCGTCTCGTGGCGGCATCGTAATTGGTTCGTTTGGCACCCTTGACCGATTCCCAACTCATAATACGGACTCCGTCTGCCCCTCATTGCGTTCCATGAGCTATAGTAGCAAATTTTTATTAGCGATGTGATGTTGCATGCGCATATACGGACGAAAAACCGCAATCAACTTCCCTCCTAAGTAAGTTTCGAGAAAATCGAGCATTACAGCCCGCGTAGGCCTCGAGTGCGTGCACACTAAAAATCCAGGCGGAGACTGGAGCAGATGATCCCCATCCTCCATGCCGCGAGAACCTCCTCCTCAATCAAAATGATCGATAGGGGATCATCTTCCAAACTGTCAGTCTACACGCTTGTAGCCGCCCGCACCAACACACGGTCGTTGTCAGCTAATTAGCGCCGCTTCCTTTCCTCGTTGGGGTCGGGGAAAAGTCCCGTACCCGGCCCGTCTATAGTGTCGGCCCCTCTCTGCTCTGTTGCAGCTCTCACCGGCCCCGGGCGCGCAGACACCACCAAGTGAGGTTATCACACCGACCCAAGATTTAGAGACTTAGCCTCAATGTCACAGGAAAAAAATCCCGCGTTAGGATAAGGTCCCGATCTGAGAGTTTTTCTCCAGCGTACTTCGTTCTGCAGCCACTTGCAACTGACCAGCTCCATCGAGGGGAAGAGTCAGCTCCTGCGGACACGCACGAATTCCGACCAGTAGGGGTCCACAGATAGGCGTCGTAGGTGGGAGGCAAGGGCTGCCTGTCCAAGCTTTAGATTGGTCAAAATTTCCATGCCCATCCCCTATTGTCGCATCGCGCCCCGACTTTTCCAATCTCGTGCCCCCATACCTCGCCCGACGCGGTCGTGGGCACACTCGAGCTACCTCCCTCGGAGTCACCCCAGGCCACGCGCGAACGGTGCACGATTTCTCCGTCTACATTCCCTCCTTTTACGACGTCACCGCGCTCTTGAGTCGGTGACGGCTTATCAATTGGAGCTGATTCGCCGTTGTTTGCGCGCATACTGCGTTGACGCACTTCCCTGTGCCACAACGATTTGATTGCGTCATTTGTCGCAGTTTCGGAAGTGGCGATGGCGCCTTTGTGCAACACTTGGCCAGGGCCCGCCCTTTCGGATCAAAGAATTCGAAGGATGAACGGAGCTAGCATCGATGTTTACCAAGTCCATGCCATCTTTAACTTTGTATAAGCGCTATAACTTCGAATTTCGGATCCGTTTTACAGCTCTAATATCACGGTGGACAGCTCGATCTTTCTACGCATGACGGTACTCCTCCTGTAAGTAAAATCTGATACGTTGGTAGGTCTTGAAACGTGTAGCTTCTTCGTAATTCCATTGGCCAGTGCAATTGCTGACCTACACTCTAGATTGGACGACAACAAGGTAACAGAGCCATGACTTGTTTACGGGTTCGCGTCAAGGGTAGGATCACTTATCCGGGGGTAGATCCTGTTGAAGCTCAAATTCAGTCCGATCGTTGTACTTCTTGGGTGCAAGTGCTTGATTAGTAGAGCAGTCGAAACGTTTTCCTTTTTTAACTAATAAAAGTGAGCTCTCTTCAATACGTGGTAGTTGCACGACATGTAACTTGTCGGAGCGCCCTCACATGTCTTGATAGACCTCTCACCCATGATGTGGCTGCCCTACACCTCGCTCGAAGATGCTGGCTCATTGTGCGCACTTGTAAAGCATAAGTTGAGTTCAGTGAATCTAAATTACTAACAATACATATTTATGAGTCAAGGACCACAATTTTGTAAAAAGACACGGCAATGTAGGCCAGCTGGAGTACTACGTGAGCCAAAATTTACCCGCTATATGTTCGTAAAACTAACGAAGGAAATATGTGTTATTTGATGTCACGAACCACAGTAAGCCAAATTACGTTCAGGCCCCAAAAACAGGAACGCTGGATCAGATAAGAAGGAACTAGATCGGGTATGTAAAATTACATCCAAGATGACCCGCATTCTACAATTGTATAGATTGTAGGTACTACTAGTAGACGTGTAATTGACAAGCTGCAGGGAATCCGACTCAGTTTCTACCCATCCTGGCGGAGTGCCTCTTCTCTTTTGGGTTGCGCATTTAAACTGACCTTGGTATCAGCATTGCAATTAGCATCAAGAGAGATGCGTCAAATGTTTCACAACACTTGCCGTATGATCCGAACTTACTTGTATGGGTCCCGGGAGGCAGTGCTTTTTCAACTCTTTGCATTATCTACAAATATTCGTGGTGGAGGTGGTGGTAATTGTAACGGGCACCCTTTGTTTGGGGTGCCACGAAATTTCACGTACACTAGTACGTGCAGAGGAAGCTAATCGACTCAAACAACTCGTTTGAGTAAAGGTAAAAAGAGAACTGCATTTAATGTAGTTAAGCTATCAATATAACTTCAGTCTTCATCCAACTGTATTAATCTACATTGTCGTATGACGACAACCTGCTCACAACTCATTGCGCGCGTCTAGCAGCGATTGGTGGTAATCTTGGTTGATATGTCTTTATCAACCAATCTTGGAGCAGCGCCTGAATATTATACTACAAAGGGGATAATATTCCTTCAATGTTATCCATCTCGGATACTCTTGGCAGGGAATTGTCACGCTAGACAATTTCCCTATTGACACCGTTTGGTGTCAAATATCATGTAACGATGTACCCCGTTACAGTGGTGATCAAAGTTAGATGTAGCGTCTCTCTCGTAAATATTATACTGAAGAAGCTGTATGAATTGTAAGTTCTCAAGCTGCATAAATACTGACGTGGGTAACGCTAATACGTTGGAAGTGACTTACTATCTTTCCCGTATCATGTGGGCAACGCTCACAACATGTACACCATGTCTCGTCAGCACATTAAGTCGCTTGCCCAGTAGTCGCAGCAAGACAAAGGTTACATCGAAAGTTCACATCAGGCGAAAAATAGCTTGTTACCACCTTTAATATTTGCTGTTGTACAATTCGCACACTGTGCGCTGCGTACATAAACGTGTCGAACACAAGGACATGATTAGCAATTGCCGTTCCAACATCCGGTATAAGCTGCACACATCGTCGTCGCCTTGGAATGCCACGCTTCTGCACGTCAAGAGCGACGCGTTTAAAATTATTGTAACTAAGAATAACATCAAGCAGGTTTAATATCCGTAGTGATCTTGTTGCTACTATGTGGCAAAGTGGTCGTTACACTCAGCTCCGCCATGTCTACGCGATTGGAAGTCGAGTACAATAGCGCGACGACTAATGAGCCAATTCTAATGTCATGGCGTAACTGCTTCACCCAAATTTGGTTTCTACTCTCTTTGATCGACAAATACGCACGAACACCCAGTACGGATCAAGGTGTTGGATACTCACGCAGTTTGTGACCAGCGTTGCCGGCTGTCGTGGTTGTTCAGACACGGCTCCAGAAAGTCTTTTTTTCGCGTGGAAGCTAGAGAGCTTAGTATGACAGCTTTGCTTCATCACGGTTCATAACACGTATCTGTATGCAAATCAACTTGAAGTGTCAGTGGCAAATGGAGATCTTGTCGTTACTCGTCAACGGAAAATGTGCACCTAGTTTGCTCCGTCTTTTGCAGCAGTATAATGAGTGTATTCATCACTGCCTTGGAGCTCTCGCATACGCACGACCTCGTTACACAATTTACGAACGAGGCAGGTCAGGAACAGTGCCAGGGTTAGAACACTCTTTAGCGACCTTTTACCGCTCGCTCCACTGTCGATATAGAGAATAATAAAATTTCTTGTCTCGCCGTCGGTTACATGATCAGGCACGGTGCACAGCACTGCAAGTCGCCACGATGCTCGTCATCTCGGGTCGAGCTCGTAGCATTCTTTGCCGCTACAGACCGCGTGACCTGCTGATCCGTAATCACCATGGGATACCGGGGTCCTGGTACAGGAACGGCACTCGGGCCAGCAATTACGTTCGTTGTTGCATGCGAGGCCGACGACCGGGCAATCAAATCGGCGCTCGGAACCACTGAATTTGGCGCATCAGCGTGTGATAGCGACTGTCTCGCAATGACATCAGCGTTCGGGACCACAGGATTGTGCGTCTCAACGTATGAAGACACGGACAAGGACGAGTGACGACTGCCAGATACAGACCCGTTGTCAGACGACAGAGCCCGTGGACGACGGCCATTGTAGTCACTAGAAGACGCATCGCTTTCTGCATCCATGTGTTCGCTCCGGAAACTAAAGGCCTCGGACGGCGTGCCCTCGGGCCGGTGCTGTCTGGCCTGGAGCCCCTGCACCCATTGTATCGCAACGTCTGGACTATCTGCCTTCAGCAGGTACGATTGGTCGCCAATAGCGATGGAAAACTCGAGTTTCTCGTCGTCCCCGGCATGAAAGTCGATGGTCTGCGTACGCCACAAGTCGATGCATGCCAGCAGCTTTTCACTCTCGCGGGTCTGTCAGCCAACCGTATTCGAATAGAGCAACGTTAATACATTACGTGAAGCCAATACGTCACTCTAATGGACCTCCATGTCACTCTAATGGGTAAATGTGTGACGACTTATATCGGCCTTCTCCACTTCGATTTAACGCGCATTCGTACCTTATAGTACGTCAAATAGTGGGTCGTGGCTTCAAAGTAGCGGCGCTGCCATCGATTGTGACGCGATTTCTTGCGTAAATAACCTGACAAACGAGTGCAGCATTAGCTTCCCGTAGAGAGAAGACGGAGGTAGCGCATGTCGTTGTAGCATCGTTCGAGCGCACCTTTCAGCACCGGGAGATCCATTCGCACGCCACGAGCTCGTACTCGGCCGATCGACCTTTGTAAAAAGGTGGGCTGTGTGCGATGGGTACACTTCATGGTTACACTAAATTAGTGTGCAAGAGCCTCATGATCTTCTGCTCGTGCGACAAGAAGAGAAAGGGCGGATCGATCCCTTTTTGTCACTTTTGTGCAGACGCTGTGACGTGGTATGACGAAGACTTGTGCCAATTTTTGTATCATCTTTTGTGAGATATAAAAAGAGCAGTGTCAAATTGTGCACAATCCTTGTGAGCCATGTGCAATTTCGCGACTTTTCGGATGATCCAGCTTGGGATGAATCAGGGCTGGGAAAAACCCGATTATTTTGGCGAGGCAATCGGGTTTCGGGTTTAATGCACCAAAATTCGATTGTTGGGCAAAAATGCCATGGTTTTATTTGGCTCGATGAGCGGGCGCCTACTTGGAAGATTCACTGCTGGAATATCGTCACCATCGTGCACGTAGTCGTAGAAGGTAGACAAGTTGCTCTCAACGAACGTTAGTTCTTCTCCTCGTTTCGGGTTGAGACAGCTCCTCAGCCTGAGTGAATGTCACCACAATCACGAACTCGGTCCACGGAAATGCCTGTGGTCTGCGCTCGTGATTCGCCGAATGGAGGCTCGTCGTTTACAGGTAACTTGAACAGGAAGTCATCCAGCTGTAAGCGGTTGCCCCTCGGCATCCCCACTCCAGTAAAACACAAGAGTTGAGCTATATCTCGGTACTTTCGCTCATCTTATGGTCATTCATCAGAGTCTTTTGGTGCATGTATTCGGCACTCTTGGCATTTAGTGAAGACGCATCATCGGTAAACCCGTTCCAGCCTCCGCTAGGAGAGCGACCACGTTTCTGTTCCGGCGCTGGAACCTCATTTCAACATCATCATTAACGACCACTCTGAAGTCCAACATGACGATCTGCGCGTCTCGCTACTAAAGGTCGAAAATGTTGTCATTGACGTGATTGACATGCTCCTCAAACTGGCTTAGTGGAAACGACGATTGCGACACAGTAGTAAGTGCGGATAGAGGGTGCTAATTATGCTGATATGCTAACGATATATCATGACTGTTGGGTTCCTTGCAGCTGCAAGGATCGGCCGCCGGATCGTGCGGTAATCACACGATATCTGGGGAATAAAACCTGATAAAACACGGTTTTGGAAGATCGCAGGCTGTCGGGTTTTAATAAAAACCATGAATACCCGCTTGCAAAAAACCACTTGGTGCCAGCTCTGGGATGAATACTATCGAAATAGTCACTTCCCGATTTGCGCCTTCAGGCACCAACGGCCAAGCGTCGAAGACCTCGAAAGAGCCGGGCGACTGGCCCCTCACCCTGTGTGAGATGTCCCCTATCGTGTGGCCCGGATTAAAGGGGGAAGGCCTTCGTGCCGCTGCGTGCGCCACGGGAGGCAGCGCAGCGTGCAAACCGAAAGGGGAGCAGCAACCCAGACACCCCGAGGTGAGGGGTATGGCAACAGCGGTTGCGTTAGCGGCCCATCAGGGGTGATCGGTCTGATACCAGGCGTTTCCAGCGACTTCAGCGCCCTGTCTGCACCCCGGACTGGATATCCGATTCCACGTGCCCTCTGCGACGTGTCCCCCGTGATGACCGCAGAGCCGAGCCAAGCAGACTGAGCCAGCGAGGAGAAGATGATGTAGTTCAGGCAGCAGCACACCGATATCGTAAAAGGCACAAGCACTTAGTCGACGTTCACGGTTTACTACCATCGAAATAGAGGCCGACGATCGACGATGCTCAGCGCAGTGACGAGCCATACAAATCGAAAGACATTTGGACTGGCTCACCGACGCTGGAAATGATCTTGTCCATAAACATGTGCGTCGTCTACCAAGATACGTCCAAGATCGAGTCCAAACACTCGACTGTTTCTTCAAGTGATCCCACCAAATGCTTGGATGCGTCTCACCTATTCTGTCTACACTGCATGTAGTACGCTATTATTACACCACTAGCATGCACGAACCTGCCATTGACCGACGGAACAAATGTCTCGACTTCTGTAAGTGAATGTTGTGGTTGTTGCACTACTTATACTTGCCAAACGTTCACAATGGACAATCTCACAGCCGTCAACTGGCTGGTCAGGGAAACTCGCTATCGCTATCTTCTTGGATGGTACTCTGCGTCATCTTTTCGCTCGCCAAGAAACTCAAGTGCTGCAGCATCCCAATGTGCTCCTGATCGGCCTCCCGTCTCGGCTTCGTGTCAAGTACTGCCACTGTACCAAGCGCGTGACCATCACGCGAGAAGATGGTCGCACCAGCATAATAGCGGATCTTCACTGCCCCCTTGTCGCCCTTGACCATCGGGTTGTCACGGAACCGGTCGTCGCTCTTTGTGTCCAGCACCACCAGCACACTGGGCTGGCAGATCGTGTGCGCGCAAAACGACAGCTCACGAGGAAGCGTCGTATGTGCCATGCCAATGTTGGCCACCAAATGCTGCTCTTCATCCTCGATAATACTCACGTACGCGATCGGACACTTCATGGTCTTGGCTGCAACTTCGCAATACATGTTGAACTTGCCGGATAGTCCCAGCTCGCGGATGTTGAGTTCACGCAACACTATCAAGCGCTCGTCTTCATCCACAGGGTACGGCGGTTCAGGCCACGTGTTCATCCAGACAGCGCTACTAACCGTACTGCTGCGATTCCGATCTGCCGCCGAGCCGTTCGAAGTCTTTCGACTCGAGTTGGACGAGTGAGCACTGCCACCGCCAGGGCGCAAGAAACCCGTCGATCCAGCTGACGTGGGGCTGTCCAACGAGTGGAATGCCACACAGGATACACAAACGCGCATGGACCGGGACTGGATGCGGTGGTACAGTGAGCAGCTGTTGCAAATTACCTCGCCACAAGCTCTGCAGTGGTGTTTCCGTTTGAACATGTTGAAGCGCTTGTTGCAGATGTGGCAACTAAAGCGGTCTTCGTCGTTGACCCACGAAGTGTGCTGAATCACGTCGAGTCGAGGGAGCGCTACTGCACGAGACGACCGAGTGATGCGGAAAGACGACTTGCGTGATGGCATCCGTGACCTTGATTCCCGGCCATTGGGTCCTCCAGGAACGTCACCAACCACTCGTGACGCTCGAAATGCGCTCATTGGTGTGATCGAGTCGATCGATTGAGATTTGCGCATCGATAAGCGGTTAGACATACGAGGCATCATCTCACTGCTTTGCTCGTCCACCGTGTTCAGATCGTGCTTCGGGAACGTGTCGTTGTACGTGAATTGGTCATCGGACGAATAATCCGATACGTCCGATGTTCCAGAACCTTCGATATCGTTTGAACTATAAGTTACAGATCGGGACGAAGACGAGTCGGAAGAAGCGGTCGGACTTGCTGTACACTGAGTCGCTGCCTGCATTTGCCGCTCACGCTTCAAGTCTGCAAGTTTCCGAGCAAGGTCTGCTTTGCGCTTCGACCTTACTCGTCTGCGATACCTAAAACGGCATTGTAGCATCCGTACCACGCTTTTAAAACGCACGTATCTCCTGTACTGCATCGCCGTACGGTTAAAGGCTTGTATTCTGACTGCACTTTTCACTCGAGTCAGCATTCTCTGGCGGCAACGACGCAATTTCTGAACTTCCTTGTAGCGCCATCGAATCTGAAGTGTCTTCACCACATGAAGATATTTCAAGTAGCGGGCGCGTGCAGTCACACACAACACAACGTGAAAAATCTTGATCATATGGCGGTGCAGACGTTTTGTACGCATTTCTTCAAGGAACTCGTACGCCGGCTTCTTCATAAACACTTTCGATATTCCCACTTGAATCCCCACGGATATACACGTCGTGGCAAACTGACCCTGGTCAGGCTGTTCGCATGCGCCCTGCGGATTCGCATCATTTTCCTTCGGAAGCACATCAAGCAAGCCCTGTAGAAGCTCTTTCACCTCGCTGCTGATGACTGTCACTCCCTCGCCCGAGTCCGTATTGGGCAAGCTGAACGAACTTACGCGCTTTTTTGCTGACAAAGCATCTTGTGACCTCCTCAAACAGAAATAGCGCGCGACAAAGTCATCGTGCGATATACGGACCGGGTATCCTGCTCTTGCCACACGAACCGCCTCCATCACGCCATTGCAGCGCAGTTGCTTCAATACACCTTCGCGCTCGTAAATACCTGCCTTACATACCTCGTTCGGTTTGAGACAACGCACATAATGTGGATTTGTTTGCTGCAACGTCTCCAGCAAGGTCGTCAGCTGCTCCTTGAACTGCACACCGACGCTCGCGCCGCGGTTCTTGCTGGTCTGTGCCCGTTGACGTAGAGACGACTTGCTACGATCAAGCGAGCCACCAATACCCTCACACAACGTACGAGCAAAGCTGTCTTCCCGTGTAGAATACACGAGCATATCCACTGCCTCTTGGTGAAGGACATCTTTGTTTTTCTCTAGAAATCCGTCTGACGAGTACTCGACATGGCCTGCATAGTGCACAATCGTAAATTGACCACGCGCCTGCTGAATACGAGATGCCTCGAACCGCGGATGGCTACTACACGCTCGGTACAGCTTCGATGCTAGCGTCATGTCACTCCCCTTAGGCATCACACACTCTTCATCAATGAGCGAGAGAATGCCGGTCGGCCGCTGAGAGATTAAGCTCACACAATCCTGATTGTCGCAAAACTCAATGTACTTCCAGTCAACACCCTGCGATTCATACTCACGCTGCTCGCTCTTGAACACATAGTCATTAAACTGCTGCTGCAGCGTCTCGTTGGCAAAGTTGATACATAGCTGCTCGAACGAGTTCTTCGGGAAGACCTCGAAGCCGAAAATGTCAAGGATGCCGATAAAGTGGAGACCGCCTTTGGCCTTCTGGCTATCGTCCATCTTCAAGAAATGATTGATCTTCGTCACCATCCAATCAAACAGACGACCGTACAACGCCTTGGCAAGTGCATCGCGGGCGTTGTTCGCTTGAGCTGCAGAAAGCTTCATGCTCACAAAGTCAGTGCCAGCACGAATCCGCCGTACACTCAGCGCACGCTCCAGTTTAGAGGCATCAACGGCCATAAGCGAAGCAGCTGCATCGCGAGACCAAATACAGCCAGGTGCGAGGTCAGACTTGCCGACACCATGGTCCGCTGACTGGCTTAGCCTGTCGCTGTTTTCGTCATGCTCAAAAGATAAATTGCCAATGTGCATGAGGGCCGCGAGGACGTCGAAAATACCTGCACGCTCGGCTGGGGTAAAACCAACAATGTCCATAGCGTCCATCACCCGTCGGAACATATCAGCGTCCTTCACGCCGTCTCGACGCTCGTAGCACTCGCTTTGATTCAAGTACCGATAGTGCAAAAACTGGCGCGTGGTCTCCGTCACCTCGCCATAACCTCCAAGAGGCAAATGGTGGCCAGCAGGTGGATCCAAGCGCCATCGCTTTCGTGCATCTGGTGCCGCGCCAATAGCAATTTCGTAGAAAATGTGGTAATTCCGCTCGCCCTTGGACTGGGACACGAGCCGCACTTTTTCGAGCAAATACGTCTGAATACTCGCGCCCGTGAGGCAGCCGCTACTAGTAAAGTGAAGCTTAATAAACTTGCCAAAGCGACTCGAGTTGTCATTGCGGAGCGTCCGCGCGTTTCCAAACGACTCGAGCAAAATGTTCGTCTGCAGCACTTTTGCAGCAATTCCTTCTGGACACTTGTCCCTTGAAGCAGCAGCCGTAGTAGCAGCAGTACTATCGTCCGTGGCTTCACCCGGTCCTGCTAGATTAGCACCTGCTTGAGCAAGGTACTCCATGAGAAACTTGGTGCTCTCTGTCTTGCCACTGCCGCTTTCTCCACTCACAAGGACACTCTGATCACTCACCGTCGACGTGCCATGGAGTCCCAACATCATGGCTTTGTACGCTTCTCCAGCAACTTGATAAATATGTGGCGGCAAGCAAGTGCTCGAGCCATTGCTGTTCCTGTTGCTGCTCCTTTTCAGGCGCATGTGGCGCCCTTCACACGCCAGCAAGTACGTGGCCATCGTGTCGGAGCCGTAGAGCCCTGGGATTTTCAGAAACGGGTTCACCGCCAATAGAATCGCGCCCGTGTTGGTGTAAATCTTGTGTCGCCGGAACCGCGTGTCGAGCGTCGTCAAGATCGTCGTCTCGGTCAGCTCCATGAGCTGCGTCAGGTCGTCGACGTCCATGAGAATCTGCTGCTCGTCGTCGAGCGTGGCCGAGAGGAGGAGAAGAGCCGCGGAGTGGGTCTCGCGCTTGTGCTCCTGGTTCTCAAAGTCGCACTGCGGTCGCCACGTTGGCGGCGACGCTTGGGCTTCGGGAGCCGCCACGTCCATTGATAGAGAGAGCGAGAGCCCGTTCAGGAGGTGGTTACGCTTTTTGGTCCGCTGGTGGTGGCGATGGCAGGGGAAATGGGGCGGCGAGCGGCGCTGACAGTCGCTACTCCCTCCCTCACTCGTTCCTTTTTTCTCATTGTTACTCACGCCCCTTTTATTCCTTCGGGGCTTACAACCCCACACGGTCTCTCAGAGTCGATGGGAGGTGGCAAAGTGATAGAGACGCGAGTTGAGGTGACGCATCGGGTTTGAAAGGGGATAGAGAGGTAGAGGGAAGAAGGGCGGCGAAAGCGATGGTTCGTGCTCGAAGTGCAGCGATCGTATATGCTGATATAGAGGTCGAGCGAGTAGGGCAGAAGGAATTGGAGCAAGCGACACCGGCCTGTTTATGACGACCGAACTGTGCCTACGCCACGAACACTTTTGCCTGAGATTGTTGAAACGTAGCACTTTTTGGGTCTGCACCGAAGCGGTTACGGGCTGGCGTGGCGATTTTTAAGGATAGCGTCGACCGTTAATATACGTTAACGTATACCCACTGTACGGATTCGGCTGGACTAGGCAACGTTAAAGCCTGCAACGCCATGCAAACCGTAACGGTCACGAGCGACTCATTTGTCGGTAACGACCGTAAGCTATAGAGCGTCAAAAATCGGTTGCCACTCCACATATCGCCACACTTGTCACGAGTACCATGCAGATATTTCCCTCTTGCGACATACGTCGCTAATCGTTGTTGAAAGTAGCAGAACGATCCGGCCAATTATAGTATCGCTACAACGAGGTGATGCCAGGTGTCACCTAGAGCAGCTCGCTCATGCTGAGAAAGATAGGTATTGCCTCCGACGTGAGAATCTGCGGCGAAGCCCGACTCTCATTCTTTCTTTACAGTGACGACCGTAAGTGTTGCCCCATAAGTGGCGGAATATGCTTTTATCCACGATGATAGGATGTCAACAAGGCATTTGGCATGCGGTCTTGCGCATAAAAGCGGTAGGCGATTTTTTCGTGGCAGAGAGAGGTACGAATGACAGGACCTTCAAAGTACGTATGAACTGTAGACAAAATGGCCGATGTTCGGCAAACCCGATGTGTTTGCGTTGACGACACTCAACTTTTGCAGTATCAACAGCACAGGTGAATTGTACTTTTCGTCAAAGGAGAATTTGCGGACGAGCCCGCATCGTTAGAGTTGATGCACACCTATCGTAGTTTATGGATAAAGACTATTGTCCAAAGCTGCCACCCCTCAATTAGCCGGTGAAACGCGGAGAATGTTAAAGGCATGATAAAGGGATCCCTTCTTTTTGTGCATTCTTTATCAAATCAAGACGAAGACAGAACTTTGGGCTCATCTAAATGTCCCAATTTTGTTTTGAAGTCGTTTTGTGCCACTTAAATCACATACTAAAATAGCGATATATCGCAACCCTGAGTACTGTATCAATCTGATCTCCCTGAGGTCGGCAACTGCTGCGCACATACAAGCACACACAAATGCAGCAGGCGTTTTCTGCGGGTCCCATCCAGAAATATGGTATATTTCGCACTGAAGTTTTCGCTGGAAGTAAGGTCTGAGTAGTGTAGGGTTTTGTGCGGTATACATGATATCGTGCTAAATAAAGGGCATGCAGCTACATGAATTAAAAATCGTTATTTTGAAATGTGGGGGTATGTTAAATGAAAGTACATTGTGATGTCACGGTATGTACCGGGTGCTATGCTGAATGTCGTGCACCAACTGCTCACGGGAAAGACATTCCATCGCCAATTTAAAACAACTGCATGCAAGTATCCAATAACAAGAGAAGAACTATTCTCGACTGGATGGCAAGGTGTTTCATCTGCATCGTTGGCTTTTGTGTGGTACATTGAGGGAGGCCAGCTAAGCCGCATGCCCATGCAGCTGGTCCGAGTCGCTGCCGGTCGCAATACAGGGCGTTCGATCACAACGGGTGATCTGCATCAGCCATCGGACCACGTCTGCGAGGTGTTTCTTAACTCAATCTACTTAAGTCAACGCCATGTAAACGATCGCTTTTCTTCCGTTAAAATGAGGAATACAGTACATCTAAATTCCTGCCACAGTTAAGCGGTCCTGACTCAATCACGTCCTAGGATAATCTTGCTCTGCGTTACACGGAGTGGCGGGACACCTTAAAAAATAGGTGTTCGCCTAGAAATTGAGTCCAGGTTAGACTATTCATTAGCCTTGGTCAATATATGCCAAACAAAGGTTAAGAAATGTCCGCGCTCTGTCAAACTTCAATAGCAACGTTCTAAGATGTTAAAATGACCTTTAAGTACGACAGGACTATGCAGTATGTTAAAATGAGAACATCCAAGACGCAGTGATGGTGCGTATCGATCGCCGTGTTTTCCCACTCAGCGCGTCTGGAATAAGACAGTACTTGAAATGTAATCGTGACCAAAACTTCTCGCTTCTTCAAAACTCCCTCATTCACACTACCCTGTTTTTACTCAGTATAAGCAACAACTTAGACTCAGCAGGACATTTCTATCACAGTCGAAATCTCGTTATGCTCTCTCGTGGTCCTAACCGTACTAGCACATACAAACATCATTCGAAGCGTCGTCACTCCCTCCCTCGAAACTGCTCTTATATAAGTTTTGAGAGCCCGTCGTCACCAACTACCCATCCACTTGCGCCCTTCGTCCGCTACGAAAAGCCACCACATGCAAGACGCGGGCTAGGGACTCTCTCTCCCGTCGATATATTTATCACTTCTGGAACGTGGCCTGTCCCCGCCGAGCCCTGGGCGCCCTTGGCGGCGCTTCAGACCGACGACGGAACGCCATCGTGAGTCGTGGAACGCCGTCGCGACCCGCCTCCGTCTTGTACATGACGGGGGCGTCGTCCACTAACCCGACCCCTAGCGGACGCTTTGTGTTACCTGATGTGGCCCTGCGTAAAGTGATAAAGAAGCCGATTTTTGAGGTACGTGGGTGTTGTTTTCGTCGTCTCGACAACTGGGATTCGAAATAAAAATGAGGGCACTTGGTTTCGGACACGGATGACACTAAACCTGTGATATGTGATATATGGTCAATGCTGTGTACAATATGTGTACCACACAGAACTTTGACGAGTCAGCGTACCATGTTAAACCGCCGACGCAGATGCTGCGCTTTATTGACGGCTTACGGTACCATAAGCCCACGGCTGAAGAGAGCGCAAAGCTGAATCTGAGCAGCGCAACCGAACGGATCTATCTGCACGTGCTGAACGACGTACGGTACTTTGTGATGTAACGCACACCAACATGATGCTCATCGAGTTGTGAGATGGACGGAAGCGCTAAGGACTTTATTGTGGGAAACTGTTGTGGCAGATTTTAATCATGTGTGGCGCACGAAAAGGCGCGCGGTTCAGCTCGCAAGATGTCAATCGTCTTCGGGTGATTGCAGAAGGACTGAAAACGAGGTACGATGCCGTGGACAGCACGTTTCGCACGCTTCCGATTGAGGCAGTGAAGTATCGATTTCGCGAGGTCGAGAAACTCGAAGACGATCCGTCGCACTTTGAGTTTCTCTCGAATCGACGGCGACAAAGTCTGGTCCAGATGCATACGCTCAAGCCTGAGGATCAAGTGAAGCGGCAGGTTTTCCACTTTCAGTGGCTGGCACGGCAATATGTCGTCGCATTTGCTCAGTTGAAGATCGCAATGCTCGAAATCATTGATCGCGTGCAGAAGGATGTGGCTGCTTTGGGGGCGGTCTCCGTACCGACGCTTGCTGATATCAACGATGCAGGTTGGCTGCCACGTTGGTGTTGTACTTGCTGCTGGGTGGACTAGTGACGAAATGATTTGCTGACTTTGTATGTGCGTTCTGACTTGCCGTTCATGTCTTGGTTGATGTGATTCATTTTGCTGGTGGACAGTAGAAGCAGAGTTTGAAGCAAAGACACACCGGCCGTTTCCGACATTCCTGTTCATTTTGATTCAGAAACATAATCGCGAGCGGCACGATCAAGAGACGACGTGGCCCATTGATTCTGACGAAGCGCCGATTGACTCCATCGCACAATTTTCTCTGTACCTGTCCAGCATCTTGCTCCAGCCAGCGCCAATGACGGTTGCAGAGCTGCACAGTGCCCAAGTGATCTTGCAAATTATGTGAGTGCATTGTCATTGTGACGACAGGTTGCAGACAGTGGCCTCATTTGATTGTGTGCGATTTGGCTTTTGTGCGTGCAGCAAGGCAAAATTCCAGGTGGACTACCACGCCATGACTATTTCAGTGACCCAGATAGACCAAGCAGACGGCCATGTGATTGTGAACACCTCGTCTTGTTCAGGTTTTGTTAACGAGACAAAGGCTTCCGATCGCCTCGTTCGACGTTGCAGCAACGTACGTGTACTCACGCACAAGACGTTGAGCTCTCTGCTCTTTTCCTTTTTGACAACAGTCCGAGAGCTGCGACTGGTCCCGCGCGAGAAAGCGCTTCTGAAGTGCGGAAAGAAGGTAGAGCAGACAACAGCCGTGGTGCATCAAATGGGATGAGAAAAGGGCGCGGTTGTGACTGGGGTTGAAGACTTTTGCTGTGAAGTGTGCCCGACTTTATGCTGCAATCATGTAAAATACTGTGATGACGCGGGTGATGAGAGTCTCGACAGGACGGACAGCCTTAGGGAGTCTGCAACGACTGTAGTAGACACGGCAGACGCAAAATTGGATGGTGGGTCGATCTCCTCTGTTGGAGGGACCTATCGAAGTCCCAGACGCTGTGACAGCTTAGCAGTCTCGCTTGTACACGAATTAAGGGCACAGGGGTATGGAAAAAGATGAATCATTGCGGTTCGTATGTACACATGATCGATCGACTTTGTGTGAAGTCCTCTTACAAATCAGTCGTTAATGGTGCGTTCAATGGCTCGATTGAAGATAGACATGGTGCGACATATGCCGCTTTGCCTTATACAGTTACGAGCACATGCGATGTGGAAGTGCTCAATAATACACACGACAGCTTTGCTGCAGAAGCTGCATCATGAAGTAGCTATTGCCACAAGACACCAATTGTCTCAGGTTAGCTTTATAGTTGGCCTCGTCCCCCAAAATTGCAGCGTGTTGATCTCACAGGAAATGACGCGAACCAAGACAGCGAAGTTACAACGTGGCCAGCTTTCGCAGACTTTTTGTTTATTCTCGCGGCAGGGTTCTCTGCAACGTACACCATGCCTAGAAATTGTAGGTCGCTGAGGTACCTATCAACATCCCACTTTCATCATTATTATCACCATGGTATATGTTACGTTCACGTGAATCTCGAACATTGGGTGGAATGGTCAGCCCGCAAATGTTGTCACAGTCCACAGACCCTTTCCGATAGGAACTGCTGGGTGTAACGCCAAGAGCGGAGCACACAGAAGACCCGATGCAGCTTCTGGATACACTTATGCTACTAATGGCATACAGTATAGTACAGCGAGCTTTACTGTGAGAGGAGAGACACATACCATTCAGCGACTCGGAAAAAAACGACACTTTCGTTGTAAAGCCCACGACGATCGATATCTAGACTCTTCACGCGACAACTATGTGTCGTGTACAAGCTAAATCTACCTGCTGCAATGGATTCTTTCTTGCGGTGAATAAAGAGCTGTGTACCGAATGAGGTGTGCTTCTGTGCAACGCTTACAGCTTGCAGGTCGATGATGAATATCCTGTAGACTTCGGAAATTGATCAGGATTACAATGTTCTGAACAATGAAGCCATCGACTAAACTTCGACCTACAAAGGCACGCGATGTCGGCTCGCATCGACACACAATATTGATGAAACCCAGAGGCAAAAGCGTGAGCAAGTGAAGGGGGAACGAAGGAGTAACCTCAATCCTAAAAGAACTTATGAGCGAAACCGAAAGGTGGGATCAGACAGGACTTGAGTAGGTAGACAAGCACACTAACTATACCGGATAGTCCAAGTTAGCACTTTGCGTTTGATGTTAAATGAGTTCTGTGTGGTGCAGCGCTTGGCTTTCGGCTGCATCATGCACTGACGGCGTGGTGTTATCATCTTAAAATCAACAAATGACTCAGCGCAAGCGAAGGTGAATACAACAGCATTCTGTTGAGAATCACTTTGTGATAACTAGAACAAGCACTGACGAGAAGTCGCAGCCATTCGAATGAACATCAGACCTGCCACTTGTGCTTGTCGTTGTGACGACAACACATGTGATGCTAACGTTGAGAGTACGTTGACCACACAGCAACTTCTGTACATTCAACTGACTTCGTGGTCTATTGAAGTGAACAATTGAGTTCCCTGATGTAACAAGCGATGTGTACAAATTCCAGTATCTCGTCCGTAGGCTGACTTTTGCATGACCAAATGCAGGTTTGCTCTGTCATGCAAATTTGCTGGTTCTGATGAAAATATAGAGCTAGTTTGCTACGAGGCCTCGGCACAATAATTTAGCTTTGTCTGTATTGCAATATTACAACACAGATGCAATATTACAACGAAAACTCGAATGCCATTATTGCATTAGCAGATGAGATTTTGACATTTTGACCAGCGAAATGACGACGCAAGAGACGTTCACTGCGGCCGAAGCAGCCGTGTACGACCGACAGATGCGACTGTGGGGCGTAGAGGCTCAGAAGCGGCTGCAGAGATCGCACGTGCTGGTCAGTGGACTGACTACGCTGGGCTCGGAGCTCGTGAAGAACCTCGTGCTTGCCGGTATTAGCGTCACGCTGCACGACTCGCAGGTTGTGACGCAACGAGCGGTGGAGTCTCAATTTTTTCTATCCGAAGAGGACGTGGGCAAAAATGTCGGTCCAAAACTGTGATTATGCATGTCAAAAATGTGGTTGCTGTTATTTTTCACTGACAAAGTGAAATTTTGCGAAAACTGCTGTTTAAATATTCGGTTATGTACGAATAGCGCGCAGTGGCGTGTCTACCGCGTGTGCAGGAACTTAACCCACTGGTTCAGGTTACGATTGAAACCAAAGTGATCAATGACCTGAACGACGACTATTTCAAGCAGTTCACGGCCGTGTGTCTTGTGGGCGCCCATCTGGACGTGGAGCTGAGACTGGACGCATTGTGCCGCTCTTTCGGCACGGCATTCTATGCTGCCAGAAGCTTTGGCTACAACGGCATCGTGTTCATTGACTTGGGCGAGCACACGTACCGTCGCGATGCATTACGCAATGACGGGAGTCCGAGTGATCCGTGCTCGGTCAAGTTCCCGACGCTGGAGGACGCTCAGAAGGTCCAGTGGAGCTCGCTGCAGAGTGCCCGCAAACGCGGACCCCAGCTACCTCAGGTGTTTGTCAAGAACCAATGTACGGGATGTCGTTAAAGTAGCAGGTGGGATGTTGGTGGATACTGACGAAACTTGGATGAACAGTGCTGCAAGGATACAAGAGTCAGAAAGGCGTGACTGCGATCTCGAGTGCTGACGATGTGGACTTTATCCAGTACGCAAGGAAGCAGTTCCTAGTCAACGGATTGGATGAAGAGTACCTCTCACCGAATGAACTGCAGTATGTTTCCGTCTGCTTTAGTCTGTGGAGTGGTGAGGTGAGGGAGGTGAACTGGTGATGACCACGTCTGCTTTCTATTTGTACAGGACGCTCGTTCGCATTGCGGACACGGAACTTGTTCCGATCTGTGCGATCGTGGCAGGGATCATGGGTCAAGAGGTGATTCGAGCCATGTCGCAAAAAGACGAGCCGATCTGCAACTTCTTTTGCTTCGATGGCGCAACTGGCATCGTGAGACGAGTGGGGTCGTAGATAGACCCCAAGTGCGCAGCTGTCGAGAAGGGGTTCCGCGCTAACGACGCACGAATGCACTTTGGCTGCATAACTCCACCGAAACATTCATTGGCAACGTCGGATTGCCTAGTTACTATCTGTTTCCACCAGGCGCTTTGATCGTGCACTTTATTTCTTGAAACGACGTGTACCTGATGTCACCACAGCGTCTCCGTGCATGGTAAAAGGTTGCTCCTGGGAGGTTGCTCCTCGATGACTGAGTCGCTATTGCATACTTTGTCTGTGCATTGTTGCAGAGATTAGCGTCTCACACGCGAGAAGAGCTTCGGACTTGGCATTTGCCTGTGTCAAACGCAGCATATTGGGCGGCTGCGTATCAATTCCGAATCGTGCCGAACTTGCTGCAGACGCGTCCAAGTTCCTTACAGTGAGTGACTAGAGCCTCCGGCTTGGTAGAGCTGTCGAATAGCCATGTGACAATGTATGGCGAGACGACGCCATTCGCCGTCTTTAGCAAGGAGACCGTGCTGTGCTTGCCACCTTGGCACTGCCCTCACCAGTAGCTACTTACTGAGGTCGAAAGACTTACCGTCGATGCTGCTCTGCGTTGACAGTGCTACTCAATGGATCGTCGCTAGTATGCAACACGTCGTGACTTTAGTATTTGCGACTTGTTCAGTACCAACCTGAGACACCAATCGCTCCCATTCCCATTCCACATTCGTTTGTATCACGGTGTGGGTTCCAGTAGATTGAAGGCGCTAACAACAACATTCCAAGTGGTCTTCCTGCTGGATTCCAAGTGGTCTTCCTGCTGAACGACTGGTGCTACTCGCGCGCGGAAGTGGTCGATTGTCATTAGGTCGTCTTTCAATCCCGGTAAACTGGTTCCGCTTCGCGCAGTCAAGCTTCGGAAGGCGCTATTCCTGCACCTGCGTGCTACAGCGAAGAGGTGCTAGGGACTGCGGGCGATAATTACGTTTTCAACTTACAAATGCAGCGAAAGAAGGCGTGTCCGGGTTTGGACAGCAAACAATCGAGTGTCGTAGTAACGTTGGTCTTGGTGTTAGCAGCTTTAGTGAGGCGGCTAACGAATGGTGGAAACACACGATGTGGATGAGGGTGATCCTTTTCCCGCATGCCGGATAGATGGTGTGCTCGGCGTGAGCGTAGATGTTCATGTAGGAAGAATGACCAATACACCGACGCAAGAAAGTACCGCGATGACAACTGTCCGACTGTCTACGACTACAATGAGAAGCTCCGCGGTTACTCCGATGAGTGGGACTTCTATGGTAGCAGCTACGTGGTTAATTGCGGAGGTAGAATGGTTCATTCATACACGAGGCGGGGCGAGGTAGAAGTGCACAAAGTGCTTATGAACAAGTCTGACGAGATGAAGGCACATGCACTTGAACGTGTGGACGAGTGCAGTCATACGTGGCACTTGCGCGCTTGGCGACACTTTGGCTCGTAAGATGCGGTGCCGAATGCAGTTACTTCGCGAGCTGTGGCTGATCGGATCAGCTTGCGACAATAGCAATAGTCTGCTATGCTAAGACCTATGGCAACCAGACACACGAACCCGTTTGATCCGCGTGTGTGGTCATATCCCTTCGCGACAAGGAGTTCTCGATGCGAAGGAGCTAGCGGATGCACACTTGCACTCGATGTTACGACGACTGCAGCTGTAGCTTTACCGAGCTTATCTTGACGAAGGTTTTTGTGACCCGAGGGATAAAGCGACGACGTCGGTCGAGTTCACGACCATAGTTCGCAAGGAGAGTTGGGTTAGAAGTCACGCCAACTCAACGAGAACGTGTGCAGAAGTTGACGCTTGAAGCGGCTGTGGAGGTTGAACGACAACCAGCAAGCAGCACGGAGGTCTGTAAGAATGAAGCGCCTCACTTTGCGTTACGCCTCAGGGCGAGCAAAGTCAAGTCGATGTGAAGGCAAATGCATGTGATCGAAACGTGAGCATAGGTCGCTATGGCATGCCCATTCACTCGCACGTCTCTCATTCCGTCAGGATGCACAAGGGAGAAGTGGATAGCGACGTGTTGCGCTGATAAAACTGTAGTTTACTCCTGATCCGATCAACTGATTTGCTTCGGGACAGAGGACAGTTAGTTACTTGCAATGAAGCTCCTTTCGGTCAGTCAATCTACCGGTGAGAGCGCGAGGTAGAGATGCGGTTTGATGACGAGTGTAAGAGCATTGTTCATGTTCTCATCGCAACGACACCACATCAGAGCGCTAGTGGGTAGTATAGGAGCAGGCAATGATCTACAGACGAGCAGCAAATACTTCTAAACACGTAACGGAGATGCTACATCCGGTGCTGCGCGCATTTTGATCAGACGTTGTAAAGTATCTCCCGCAAAAGTGTTGCGACCAGATCTCCGCGGGAAGGGGACAAAGGACTGATCCTACGGCCGGAACGATTACCGCCTCGTGTGTCTCTCTCACTCTACAATTACTTTGGCAGCCGTCGGACTCGAATATGCGCATCATGTGCCAGTTGTTCACGGTCTATTATTTCTCTCCTTTGGCCAATGCAGAAGTATCGACCGCTGCTGGAAACCATTTCGGGAACGCGTCCGTCAATGTGGCCACTGATGCTCTCCTGGAAGAGCCCGCATTGAATGGATCAGGACATTTGACACATGTCGTGACCACGGGCGAGACTGACCAGGAAACGGGGACCAGCGAGGAGAGGAGAGACCTTTTTCGGTCTTTTCAGCAGAACCTACAATGGAAACTGAACCGCTGCTGCGCCTTACAGAATGGTGGCAGGGATGTGGATATTGGGAGATTGGTGGGATGGCTGAAGAGCGTCAGGAGCTACCAAGTGAGAGGCCACGAGATGAGTGACTCTGCGGTACTAAATGTACTACAGCTTGCTTGGAAGGCTTGGGAGATAGAGACGGTGGTAAATCTACTTCACTCGCTACGTGACATTCCTGGCTTGAAACGTCGCGCAGACTCACTGCAGCGAACTCTTGCTAAAACGTACCCACATCACGCCTATCCAGCGGTACTTAATGCGTGGCGAGGTTCAACGTGGACTCCCTTCGAAGCTTTCGAAGTGATTCAGACTGAAAAACTGGGAGATTACAAATCCAGGGCCCTTGTGGGGATATGGCTATGGTACGCGATGGCGCACGGAGGCCCATCTGGTCTTCCGTCGATTTCAGTCGAACAGATAGGTAAGCTCTTGTTTCGAGGTTTACGTCGGGAACGCGTGCAACGGTTTCTCTTTGAGGCTTGTCAGGTAAAAGGGATGAAGAAGCTCGTCGAGCAGTTGGAGCTGTACGTTCATAGAAACGGTCGTGCGTTATTCAAAGAAGGCCCCGTCGTTGATGCTGCTTGAGGAGGTATCAGGTTTGCAGCAACATGACTGCAGGGCAGCTCCACGATGTTGTTAACCACAAGCCCCAGCATCTAGTGGACTGTTCGAGGAGTGATTTGGTAAGTTGCTACGTACGGTTGCCAGATAATGCGTATTGCATTTGGATGTGTTCTTAAACCTATTCGACAGAGATAAAGCTTCTTCATGCTGTGTAGGAGATGTCGCTTGATCCATAGAATTATATTGTGATCAAAGCTTTGGTGATCGGTAGGTGCGGGCTAGAATTGCTGGTGTCAAATAGGAGACTCAGCATGTCGATTATAGCTACTTAGTACTAATGAGATGTCTGGTTTTGTGGCGACCACCTCGTGCCATCTACCATGACACAGTCTTACTACTCCTAGCTTTCTCACTCTGCTGGCTCAAGACGTCGGGCGTCACGGCGGAGCACTCCCAAAAGGGCCCGTGGAACTGTTCGTTGATCAAGTCCTGGATTACATTCTTGTATGCACTCTACCGGATGGCAAGGTTGCTCTCGCGCTCGGAGCAATGTGATTCAGGGAACAGAGGACGCTTGACCAGGAGTCCTGTTACCACTGTGGTAGTCCCAGCGAACCATCTTGACGTCATCCCTGGCCATCACCTCGTAGTTGACTTCGTTGCTCTTCAGCTCGGCTCGAGCTCACAACGTGCTCAAATGTGCCCAGACGCACCACTGGACGAAGAGTATCTGGCTCGGTGCTGCTGTACATAAACAAACGGTACTGGATCTTAACGGGGTCGTCGTCACGGTCTTAGAGGAGTCCTCTATGCAGAAGCGGGCTCGTGCTCACCGAACGTGTCGGCGGGTTGTAGGTAGACCGTGAAGAGCAGGACCTTCTTCGTTTTACAGAGTGATTCGATCCATCGTCGACGTGCCCCGCACTAGGATATCCTGCGGACCGCTTCTCTCTCGACGCTACGCTGCCCTGCCTCCAGTAGCGCACGTAGCGAGGAGGGACCTCCCTTTTCACCTTGGCCCTACTAAGGAGGACTTCCTGCTCAAGGAAAAGGGCCCAGGTTCCTGGCTCCCCGGAGGGTCTCGCCTCTGTCCGTTGCTACAGCTGACTGCCGATCGGGAAGAAGTGTTGGCGTCAAATGTGAATCAGCCCGTCATTTGTATTGCACTGGACATTGCTCAATCACCGCTTAGAAGTACAGCTCATTTGCATTCTAAGCATGCTGCTGCTGGATCCCTAACTAGTCGACTTTCCACATCGTGCACACGACGGTAGCGAATACTGAAAGACGATGCCACGCTGTCGGTTCAATTGGTCCGCATAACGCCCCGAAGTGAACCTTTCTGACCAAAGATGCTTGTTCCGAATGCGCGGGACCTATCAAGTTACCGTCGCAACCGTGCTGTGCATTCTCGACCTTTCATACTCATGAGTTAAACTCACAGTGCAAAGGAGTCCTTTCGTTTACATGGGCCACCACGAACAGCAGTGCTCAAGTCAAGTGATAGGACTGAGCTTGTTTCGGCAGCTACTGTATGCTCGCGTGTAACCACTAGACTTAGTTGATCACTGTTGGTACTATACATACAATTTTACGAACCTGAAGCATGGCTGCTCTCACGACGGAAGTCAATCGACCAAGCTCCAAAGGATGGAACTTGAGCTTTTATTTGACTCAAATGAGGACACATGCTCTATGACGTACGAATCTCGAAATGGATGGCGTCAAAATGAAAGAAAGACGCACATTCATTGCCAACGCAATCCGAACGCTATCTACTCGTACCGCATTTACAACCACCACACGACCCCAGCTCGAGAACGATACCTGCAACGGAAAGAAAGCCGGCAGCGTTATAATGGCGTCGAGTGCGACACATTTCATTCTTCTTTTGACTTCTTCGCTCTCACCGAGAGCTGCATGTTAGTATGCGAAAGACTCAAATGGGTTACACGTATGCTAGGAGCGTATCAAATGCGGGCAGTCGCATTGATTAGGCGCCCAAAGTGACTCGACACTATTAGAGTGTAAAGATGAGCTTCGTATGCAGAACGCCCGGCGATGTGTTTTGCAGTGTTGTCTGACGAATACGTTACGAACGCAAGATGAGATCGTAGGCGTAACACGTAAAAGCTGCCGGATGATCCGTTGTTGGGGCTACTACATACCTCGATGTGTCCTTGAGTCACACGACCACCTATCCTTGAATTCGTCCTTGGAACTACATCCGTTGGAGTTTACTCCTCATAAATTATCGATGCAATCTCGACTCGAGAAGAAACAAGGACATGTCGATGCTTGCCGATCGCTGTGCCTGCCAGGGCAAAATACTTGAGCGCATCACATAGTTACGAATGTAGTCATCGTAGCAGCAGAACAGAGAAGAAATGGATGCGTTAGCGAGATGAATTGTGCACACATTGCAACAATGCTATGTTTCGGTGGCTTTACATGGGACTTCCGGTTGCAAGACGAAGGTTGGTGTTATGCCTTGTGTGGGTGTCAACTACACAAACAACGTTCGTAGATGGTTACATTCTTGTCGCTTGACACCAATCCGAAGCGCAAGTTGTAGCTTTGATAATTCGAGCGGAGGATGGAAACGTGTTTCTGGTGGATGGATCACGCTGCTACAAAACGAATTGCCAATCATCCCATCGACCGATTCCTTAAATCGGAAATGAAATGCCACCGCAAATTCTCTGTTCCTCGTGACTGTCGTCCTAGTAGCTTTTGTAAATGGCACAGAAGTCCACGTGCACTCTCTCCTGACAATGCGACTCTGTGTCAACTCTCATTGTACCAGAGTGCAGTCTGTGGCAATTGCTACATGTATGAACATTTAAGCAACAAAGAGCGTATTTGTAATTGCAATAACGCTTGTCAATGCAGTGATGTTGGGGATATCTCGATCCGATTCTAAGCTACAACTTCGCGACTCCACAGTAATATCCTCAGCATTCGTCACGAATCGCCATGTTACATCTACTTTGAACGCGTCCGACCGACTGGAGAAAACCAACGTGTCGCTCTCGCTCGTGTACGAGAGAGGCACAAAAACCGAGTTCACACCCATCCGCGCCTGCAAATGACGCATTGGATAAAGTGCTTTCGGTAGCCACCTTGAAACAATTTGTCATCATTCGCATTTCAAGTGTCTTCTCGATTCGTTGGCTGTCCTGAGTTGACGCTGGAAACTCGGAAACTTGCCGTGCTTTAAGTACTTGGGCAGGACTGCACTTACGAGTCGGTTGGTGTCAAAGATTGGAAAGGACGTGCCGTCGTTAGCCCATGCCAGGATCGCTTGATCTTCGTACTGAAGGATGTTATAGTGGCTACGAAGGAATTTGGGTACACGCGTGCTCGCACAACGGGACGTTGGCTTGATCACGTCTTCGTCGTGTTTGTAAAAACCCAAGTTGTTGCGTGCTCAATTGACGATGGACCATGACGACGCGGGTCACAAGGGGATGCAAAAGAAGAGAGCTGCTTGCAAGAGATCCAGATGCAAAGTGAAGCAAACGGTAGCTCCCTAACGTGGCCTGTTGTTTCGCTTACTTTCAGTGGGTCTGCTCTAGCCATCAACGACATTGAACGAAGTACATTGCTCCGAGCGTGAGGTCAGGACTTTCATGGTGCTGCTGAACTGTAAGATCCCTCCACATTAATTTGGCGAAGAGGTCCCGGCTTCCGAGGTTGCATGTCTAATTCTGGGCTGTCCCTACTGGACGGAGTCATCACACGTACACCAGTACATGGACCTACCATTTACCATTCGTTTGACTTCGATTGAGCGGGTTGTGGCACATCTCAGCTCAAGTGTCAAGTGGCTGGAACGTTTGAGCTCTTTATCGAGATCACGACGGTATGCTTGCAAGTATAGGTGCCCGCGGTGGACTTTGCGAGCCTTTGCAATGAACCACTTCAACTCTAACTCTTCCAATTGCAAAGACAGATCTCCTCTGGTTCGTATCTGGTTATGTTGAAGTGGACTTGACACCACGAATCGAGTCAACGGACGCACTACAACGATGACGACTTGGCGAGTCAGCTGGTGATCTTCGTCACCAAAACTACGATGAGCGGCTGAAATAACGAGGTGCTTGTATCGCAACAATCTTGATTGAAAACCCCGATCACGTACAGTATTGAAAGGCTGTTGCTACGCCGTCAAAGATCAAGCTGCACACGGTGGCAGCAGTAACCGCATGTACAGATACAAGCAGACGAAGAAGAACCCGTCCGCACTACATCCCGCTGCCTGGGTAACGTAGCTCGATGCAAAAGCTGGAGCACGTGCAGCCATGGACGCATTCGCCGATTCCGATCGGGGCTCGTATAGAACGTACTGTCTCCGGTTCAAACACCAGCGAGAGACGCCACAATCCGTACGAAGCAAGAGCTCCTGTACGACACAAGCAAAAGTCAAGTTTCGCTGATGCACACATACCTGGCAAGAAGGTACTCCAGTCGTTACACGAGATCAAGCCGCATCACATCACCTCTCGTTAGCACGCCCGCTTTCTAAATGATATCGAACACCTTCTTCAGCTTGATGACGAGCTGCCAGTCCTCTTTCTGAAGATCATCCCGGAAATTCTCTTTTAGTGCGTCGATGCTCTCACGAGTCAAGCGCGACACCAGCTTGTTCTTGTGGTCAAAGTGACGGCCGTACATGACACTGCTCTCGTTGTCTATCCGCACAGCAACCGACGCGCCCTTCTTAGCACGGTCGACCTCTTTGTGCTCGCGCTCGATAGAGCCCACCTTCCCGACCAAGAACCCACCGGCAGATGGTACTACGAGAGGGGTGCCTACTTTGAGAATGCCCTCTTCAACGTCGACACCAAGAATGATTGGGTCTTTCTTGTTAAACACACAGCTGGGAACGATCTTGAGCACGCAAGGGAACACTGCAACCTCCTCGAATTCCTCACGCCGGGCCATCCGAAAGTTGTCCATATACGCCGTAAACTGATCAAACAGGTGGTAAATGATATCAGCGGTAAAAATGCGCACGCCAAGCTCGGAGGCGAGCTCAGTCGCGTCGTTGTGAACCTTCACGTCAAACGCCAATATGGTAGCAAATTCTGGCTGGTGCTCGAGCTGCACTGAAGCTCGCATTACATCCTTCTTGTATACGGGGCCAATGTTCACACAGGACACCGGGATAGGCGGATCACATGTGCGCAAGAATTCTAGAAGCGCTTCCAACGCACCAAGAGTGGAAGCTTGTACCATCACACCACGGCGGGTAGCCTTCACCGAGTCCAGAATACTCGTCAGGTCGGACATGACGGTATCCTTCAGCTCGTCAACATCGTCGTCAGGACCAACCACGTAGATCTGTGTACCGGCTACAGCTTTTTCGAGACCTTGCGCGCAAATCTTTACACCCATGGCAGCCTTCATCTTTTGGTGGTGGATGTATTCCCCCTTGACTCGAATTTCTTTCATCGGATGCGGAGTCAGCAGTGAACGGATGCTTGTCACAACAGGCCCATCCAAGGTACACACAACTATAGTAGAGCCTTCTACCAGTGTACCATTCACCAAAATCGTATCAATAGTCGTACCAAGACCTTCAATGACCTTGACTTCTAGCACGGTACACTGTAAGATGTCGACGAACGCCAACGACTTCGCCATGCGCTCCTGTGTCAAGCGTGTCAGCATCATCAACAAGTCCGGCACACCTTCGCCCGAGATGGCACTGGTAGGAATGAGCGAGACTGTGTTTGCCAAGTTTTTGTTGCGCCAGTAAACCTCGGCATTCAACTTCTGCTCGGCAAATTCTACAATAATCGCTTTCATGCGATCCTCGAACTCGCGAATGACGTGTTCGTTTTGATGCTTTAGCGCTTCTTGAATGGGCATATCAGGCATCGTCTTCCAGCCGTAACAACGATCGATTTTGTTCAGCGCCACGACAAACGGTGCTTTTTTCTGACGCAGCAAGCGCAACGATTCCAGAGTTTGAGGCTCCAATCCGTGCATAATGTCCACCACTAAAATGGCGATATCACATAGCGACGAACCACGATTGCGCAGATTTGTGAACGACTCGTGACCAGGTGTATCGATCACTAGCAAACCGGGCAGACGGAACTCCAGCTTCATTGTCTCGATAAGCCGAGCCGTCTTCTGCTTGATAGCCTCCACAGGGAAAAAAGTAGCACCAATTTGCTGAGTGATACCACCGGCTTCAGCGTCTTGCACTTTTGTCTTACGGATGTTGTCAAGCAGCTTCGTCTTACCAGTATCAACATGACCCATGATACAGCAAATAGGTGAACGCAGATTGTCCAGCGAGACATTGGCTCGTGCAATGGCCTCACGTTCGCGACGTCGATCGGCAGCCTCTTTCTTCTTACGCTCCGCCTCCATCTTGGCCTTCGAGCGTTGATGCTCCTCTTCAGCTTCCGCTCGCATCTGCTCCGCCTGCTCCTCTTGACGCTTCTTCAGCGCAATGCCCTGTTGACGTAAACGCTCTTGCTCCTTCTCCTGCTCCAGCACCAACAGATCTTCGTTCCCGCCATCGTCACTGTCTGCTGCAGTGACATCTTCTTTCACCTCTTGGAGTTTATCTTCCAGTGAAGCCACGACATCGCTCGTCTCCCAATCGTCGTCGTCCCATGCATCGGGGGCTCCACTTTCCTCTGCCTCCTCTTTCGGCAGCTTCACATCTTCATCCACCGCCTGCTTCTTGTCCCCCACTTTTTCGTCTTCTTCCCCCTCAACTTGCTTCGTCACCTCCGCTGTCTTTTCAATCCCCTTCATGACCTTGCTCTGCTTTTTCTTATTGGCATACACCACCTTCGTCTTCTCGCCCGCAACTTCCGGCACAAGACCTGCCTGCTGCATCGCCTCCAGAGCCGCCTGAGTCTTGGCCGCCTTCTGTTTCTGGGCCTTGGTCATGTACGTGCCCTCCTTCTTCTGCCGCTCAATCTTGGCCGCTCGCGCCTCCTTCTTCTTGCGCCGCAGCTCCTCCTCGGCCTCCATCTCGGCCACACGCTTGGCCTCTTCCTCTCTTGCCACGCGCTCGAGCTCCAGTCGTTCCTGCTCGAGCCGGTCCTGCTCGGCCTTCAGCGCCGCCTGGCGCTCCATCAGCAGCTTGGCAGCAGCCGACATGGGCTTCTTCTCCTCGTCCCCCTTCTTGGCGTCCGCCGCGGGCTTCTTCTTGCCCTTCTTCTTCTTCTTCTTCGTGTCCTCCTTCTTCTCGCCTCCAGCGGCAGAGGCGACGCCTAGAGACGCCAAGTACGCGGCAGCAGCAGCGTCCACGTCCATCGCCTGCTTCTTGTCCTGCGACGGAGTCTTCTCCTGCGGCTGTGGCTGGGCAGGGGCCGCTGCCGCCGGCGCGAATTCGCTCAGCAGATCGTCCAAGGCATCCGAAGCGGTGGTGGCGGCGGCGGCTGTTGTCGCTGGCGCGCCCTTTGTCACGGGCTTCTTCCCTTTTTTCCCCGGTGCCATTTTAGTGGGGACGCTAATGGCTCAAGCGGCGGCGGTCAATAATCAATGGCTCCGATGCTTCGATTTAGACTGGGGACGAAAGAGACGCGGACGTGACAAAAGAGGAGTGAGCGTGACAAAAGACGAGTGGAGAGGGATCGCCAGCTGGTTCGGAAGATACGAGAGCGGACACAGCAGACCGCCTGGTGGAAAAAAAAAAGAGTTGCGTGGACAGTGCTCCCTTTGATTCGTTAGAGACTTGGTTGGTGATTGGAGAATATATTTTAAATCTAGTTTTGAAGGTTCAGTTTTGGGATGACGCGGTGGTAGTTTACTGTCGATGACTCAATTTAGTCAGTACAAAATAGGACTGCAGCAAGAAAAGGCAAGCGTCGCCACCTTACCAAGCTGGAACTCCAACCCAACGTTGCGTAGCTTTACACTGATGACAAGCTAGCTTACCTGGAGACCCCTGGATAAGTTCGATATGTACAAACGGTAGGGAGACACGCTTCTGCTTGTTATCACGTGGCTCGACTTTTGTCAGAACTGCAGTTATGCAGTAGGGTGATACATCCACTTCAACATGACAATGCTCCGTCAAGTTGCACCAATAATGATCCGAAGGTGTCAATGTCAAACTTCGTCTATCGAAAAAGGTGCTCAAGATCCAGTACACAGACTGGTGGCCCCATCGCTGCGTTTCAGTGACACAACCGCCGCTACCATCAACGAATACGATCGATTGTGACGAGCAAGGGGAATCAGAAGCATAGGCAAACTCAACTGGAAATGAGCTTTCATGCCCTATTTGGTAGCCGTGTAGACCGTGATATCGGCACCGACAACCTCAATTGGTCTAACTACATGGGCAGTTTGATTTGACCTCCTGTCACTCTGAATGCAATGAGCATGGTAGCAAAAGATGTGACCCGAACGAGACTGAAGAAGCGGAGAACACGCCGAAGCGGGTGTTGGGGCTAAGCTACCACTAATAATAAATTCGTATCAATGTCGGGGCTTTTGCTCATCTTGACAGAGGATGGAAGCTTTCGTCTGGTGCTGACCGAAGACGCGAGCCTGGGATGTAAAGAGGTTAACACCCTGAGATGGAACAGAAAACTAGTGCATTTCCTTAAAATGTGGCTCTCATCGCAAATAGTTTGTTGGAATACAACATTGTATCAGCGTCCTTCGTGGTGCCTGCTCGCTGCTCGATTTGTCTTCGTGTAACTTACAGTGCCCTTGGCAACCATTCAACTTGATTCTCTGAACGCACACACTACCGAATCTCCCTTTGACTTGTGGGTTGTAAGGATTTTCTTTCGACAGAACGCATCAATGACGGTAGTGTTCGATGCGCATTCGACTATTCTAAAATGAGCCAGCTATTGTCAGAAAAAGATGTGTACCATTCCGGCTGACTATCAATAGCAGCTGCACGACTAGCTCTATCGGCGCCCGATCCGCTTTTAAGGAGTCATAACGAGTTTTTCAAGAGTAGAATTCCAACTACTATATGGTGCACAATTCAAGGTATCATTCTATGTTGCAGAAACGGAAGGACGATGATTCGCAGTGGTGGCACAGCTTGCTGCACGATCATGCAAACATTAGTACAGCTTGGACAGCAGTAGAGTAAAACGTGGCACGATGTTTATTTGGAGAATGGAGGAAAGGCTCGCACTTCTCGAAGATTGGCTGTTCGTATCAGTGTTATTAAATTCGCATTCATTGCAGCGACGACAGAACGAGAGACAACGACCGTACATGATACAAGCAAAGCAAATGATGCGGTTCGGCTGGCTGAGTTCACTAGCTGCGTACATGAGAAGCTCTTCTTTGGTGAACAGGAATGCATCGTGCGACCACCTATTCACATAGTGATGGCAGGTAGAGGAGTTGTCTCCTTGTATAGCCAATGACTCATTGACTCAGGATATTGAGCAGTGATAGCAGCACTAATCATGCAAACTTTGCTAAGTGTAACCGACTGATATGCGTTGAGACGTCGGACAGCTTGTAAAAAGAGGTCGAAGACGGCGGTCGCATCGTCCAGGAACCTCGCCGTGCAATGAACTGGCTAGCTTTTCTACTTGCCCACCCGTGGTAGGAGCATTGTCAGGAACGGCCGACCAACAAGAATCAGCAAACAAACACTGAATGGAAAATCTACATCGACATTACAATGTACATTACAACATGCTTTCTGCCAAGTTTTAACTCCTTTTCGCGACACAACATCCATGAACGAGTCCCGGAGACGACTTTAATCGTCCGGATAACGCCACACAATACACCTCAACCGGATCCGCAATCGAATGGCCTGGAGACAACGCGTCCTTCGCGTAAAATCCGTTTTTAGTCTCATCGAAATGCTTTATTCAAATCGGACACGCGGGTCGTGATGATGGCGCTCGTCCTCCGACTCGGCCGCACACCCATTGCATAGTCAAACACCCGCTCACCACGCGCGTCCATTAAATGCAAAACAACTATGCACAATCGCCAGAGTCAAATGTTCTTCGCTCGATTTGTTACCCGGCAAGCACCGACCGTCCTGTTTGCACAAGTTTAAAGGACTCCTCTTTATGCGTCGTTCATGTACGTGTCCATCTCGTTGTCAAGGTCTTCAGTGGTCTTGGATGGAGCAGACTCGCGGTTACTGCAACGCAAAAGAGTTTAGTCAACGAAGGCGACACAAATACATCAACAGGTCCGCGTTTTGTATCTTACCCATGACTGCCCTTCTCGTTAACGCGCCCGCGACGTCTGTTTCGGCGGCCGTTCGACTGCTCGTTGTCTTTGTTTCCTCTATGAATAAACAACAAGGTGTCAAACACGTTGCTTCCTCACTCTCATGTGGAGACACCAACGCATTAGCTTACCCGAAAGACACATTGAATTTGACATCCTTGTCGTCACGCTTCAGAGCCGTCCCAAACAATCCGTTGCGAACGTTTTTGTCAGAGTCCAGTGTAATCTGCATTGGCAGGCCGTCCAGCGTACGTCCTACAGACATATCACAACGCACAAGGTCAACAAAGAGGCCAGAATCAAGTCTTTATCCTATTCGTACCATCGTATTGCTTAATGGCCTTGTCTGCATCGGATCGACGGGTGAACCAGACACGGGCAATGCCTTTCGATCGACCGGAACGATCGTACACGATCTCCGCCTTTGACACTTCCCCTACTGTGCCAAAGAGCTCGCGCACTTCTTCCTCCAGAATGTCAAACTTTAAATTCTTGACCAAGATCTTCGTGCCAGAGCCAGTCGAGTCCTTGCTGCCAAGACGCGACAGAATGGACACGCCACCGCCTACATGACATTCACAATAAACGTCAACACGTCGATGCAACTGCCATAAAATTTCCCACACCAACAAGCTTGCTCTCGCACCTTTCTTGCCCCCATTGCCGACCTTTTTGATAACCACCGAGCGCTTCTTGCTGCTACGGCTGCCATTGTCAACAGCGTCATCTACGTCAATGTCCATGTCGTCCTCATTACCGCCGCGCTTTACGACAGCAAGGAAGAAGCAGATGAAAATAGCAGGAACAGAAGCAGACACGTGTCAATTTCTTTCTGCACCAATGAGCACCCCTCCTCTCTCGCAGCCTCAGTAAACAGACACCGCCGCTCCTCCCAGCAACAGGCGACAGATCCAACAGCTTGTTTGTCCATCAGCTGTCCGTCAGTCCGCCGCAGAGGTACAGACCGACTCAACTTGTCTTCCAAGTGCACAGGAGTCTCGAGAGTAGAGGAAGAAGGAGGTAGAGGGAATAGAAAAGCTCCATCTGGAGGCGTTTCAGCACGTACAGATCGCGCATAGGGCTGGGTCTTCCGACTAGCATTGCGTCGGCGTCCCCCTCGAATGGGACCGACAGTGTCTTTGTCCTTGTTCTGCCTCGCTGGACGCGACGACGGGTTGCTGGCCTTGGGCTTTTTGCGCGCAATGAGGTCGTCGAGACTCATGTCGAGAGAGGCGAGGATGGACGACATCGTTGGAATGACTCGAGGTCGTCAGCTCGAGTACACGAGGGAGTCTATCGAAAACAAGCAGCACAGGGAAAAATGTGAGCAAGGGACGGGGCGGGGCAGCAGGAGCGGGTAATCAGGGGAGACAACGGGGTCGTACGGAATTCCAAAGGCGCTAAACGTCCAGTCTGAGGTCTCGTACCTGTGGGTTCTCGGAGGGGTGTGCCACGAATCGTCGAAAAGGGCGTGTGGGCGGAGGGACGGAGGGCGAGACGCGGTGGTACCTTCGCGCGACATGCGACCGGTTTCAGTTCAGTGACAGATGAGAAAAAGAGCGACACAAACCCGCAAACATTTATTGCGTCGTGAAGTAACAATTCCAAAATGAATCTATTACGGAGCGTAACTTTCTGCGGACTGACTGCCGGTTTGACGTCGCTCGTGGCGACGACGACGACGGTGTATCCTCACGTGCCGCTTGTGATGTGGTCAATCCGCCCGTTCGTGCACTTGTCGTGCTCGTAGTTTCTCTTCCTTTCTTGAAGTTATGGGGAGCAAAAGTGCATGAAGATCTGACCGTCTTTTACTGGTCTTTTGTAGAACTTTTACTGGATCGAACGCCTATTTAAGCTCCGAATTAGACGAGTCGAAAGTCGCATCAATTCTAAAGGCCGTGGTACTTCACGATGCAACAACCAGTGACAGCGAGGTACGCAATATGACCATCAATTATCAGGCATATGCAGACAAAAAGGACTCACTGCAACGTACCCGTGTTCTGTGTTGATCCCGATCCATTGTAGGGCGTGCTGAGCACTGAGGCGTCTTCGACGCTGCACTCGGAAGTCCTGTGCTTGTACCTCGTGCCGACGCTGTCACTGGAACACGCGGCTCAACTCTCAACAGGCACAAACGCCTATGTGCAGAATGCCGTCCAGAGCTCCACGTCGTCGGTAGTGATCCCGCAGACGACGCGCACGAAGCCTCTCCTGCCTGAGCTCGAGCCTGTTCAGCCACACGTTGTGGAGTTTACGGAGCTCGACGCTTTTCTTGCCTCTGCTGCAGGCCAGACGCTCGTTTCTAATGGCAAGCCGGATCTGCTCGTTGTGCAGTTTCCAGCTGGGATGTCTCTGTCGGACGTGGACAACGCTATCAAGATAGCGTCGGAAGCACTTCTGGCAGCCTCGAACGGCATGACAGACTTTGCCATCACTGGTAACGATGTCGCAATGGTGGAGCTTGAGGACTTGATGACCCGACGGCTCTCTGCTCAAGCCAAGACCAAGACGACGAGCGATGACACGGTGGCCGCCATCGTCTGTGAAGCGAATTACCTCGTCGGTTACAGCGCAGCAGGTAAAGCCTTTTGCTTTTCACACTACGTCAACATCACGCCCGACATCATGGCTGGTCTCCTCTTCGGATTCCTCTTCATATTCATGGCATACATTGGCCTAAGTGTACTGCACCAGATCCAGACGCCGCAGCGATTTCCATCGCAAGGAGCGCCCCGTGGCAAGGAGTTCTAAGCTGTCGAGTCCACAAAGTGAACAACTGCAGCAAGACACGCATCGCTTGAGGGATGTGGAAGATCTGTGTGCTTGCATGCAATGGACAGATGGAGCGTTATAAGTCACTTTCTTGGTTTTGTTCTGCCCATCGTCAATTGTCTGGTAGTACCCGAATGTGCAGCGAGCAGCCAGAGCACGGCACAACGTCCACGCCGTCCCAGATCTCGATTTCCGAAATCTCATACACGTCTCCACAGCGACAAGTGTGTGTAAACACGACAGCGTCGTCGTCTTCGCCCTGGAGATAAACGCGCTGCATGGCACTGAGAGTGACCTCGTCGGACACGACCACGGCCTCGTGCTCCCTCTTGCGCACGAGCGCGTCCTGCTGCAACTTGGCGTCGTACTGCCGCCTCAGCTCCGTGTTCCGCAGCGTCTCATAAGCTTCTTGCACGCACAAGAACAACTGCTGCTGCTGCTGCTGGCTCTTGACTGCCGAGTGGTTCCTGTTCGCTTTCACGACGGGCGAGCGCTTGTCCGGATGGTGCTGTCGAGCTAATTGGTGGTACGCGCGCCGGACGTCGTCGGAGCTGCAGGTGGTCGAGACACCGAGCACCTCGTAGAATGAAGGCGATAACGTCATGACTGGTGCTCGATCGGTCGTTTGCTCGGTCGGTTTTAGCTGCGATAGTAATTTGACAGGCGTCGATTAGACCACATGTTTTTACTTCCGAGTTGTATCGAGCAGTACTCTCACGGGAGAATTCAAACACACTACCATTTTTGCATAATAACACAAACATGTTCGGCTTTTTTTTGCTTTGCCCGTCCCAAACTGTGCCGACTATCCATCAGGTCTAGCGATTATTATCGCTAACAGGGGTGAAGCGACAAGCCATGGTTTTCGACCATTCCTTCTTCTAACAACCCCTCCTCCTCATTCTCACTACGATGTTGAGTCCTTGTACCTTCCTATTCTGGCATGGCAGCTTCTACCGTTGTTAATGATGCTATTCCTGCTGGTTTGCCGTGGAAATGAGATGAGAATAATTAGCGCGACCCTTCGTAGTCAGAAGGAAGCCATTGACACCACCAAGGAGTACGCTATTAGCCAAGGCTCCGCCGTTCGCATCCTATGCTGTAAATTGTGAGACTTTGCGCGATTCTCTCTCTGGTGTACCAAGAGAATTACGGGGCTTCTAGATACAGGCAATATGACGACCACCCCATGACCTTGCAAGACCGTAACACTACAAAGGTTGCGGTTGCTCCGGTCCCCGGGTCGGCCTTCAAACGCACGCACCCGACAAAAGTGTAACTCGGCTTTTTCAGTTTGACAAAGGCGGTAACGGCCACCATCCTAATGTTATAACACAGCCATGCTACCGATGGAGCAGTGTACAACACGAAAGGTGCGATATCGATGCAAAGGTCGACCAGGTGCATTTGAGTGAAGCTGCTTCACGGGACGCACGAATGTGCAAGCTTGACGCATTCGAGTTAATATGAGCAAGTTGTGTCACTTTCTGCTTGCTTGCACAGAATTTTTACCAAGAGCAAGGCTAGGATATATGATCACCTTCCAACCTTTAGGGTGATGCTGTCCAAATTCCTTTGGGGCTTGTACCTGTCTGCGTGTGCCGTAGGCCATAGTACCCATTGTATTATATTACAGTGCTGAGCAAGCAATGATTTACAAAGCTGAACCCATGGCCACGATCACTGTCGACCTTAGGCGCTATCACTACGTTGACATATAATAGATTGATGGTGGGGGTGAACGTGTTAATGTCGGTTCCAATCGCGGCCATCATCACTTGGGCTCTCAAAAGTGGCCCCTCGTTTACCTCTGTCGGTGATACAACAACAAGACCTGATGAATAGTCCGTACAGTTTGGGATGGGCAAAGCAAAAAAGCCGAAAATGTGAGTGTAATTAGATAAAAAATGGTAGTGTATCTGAAGTCTTCAGTACTCAAGAGGTTTTGTCCAGGTGGTTACCCTGAGAAATGTCGTGTTTAGTAAAGGCCTGTGATTAAAACAAACTCGCTTCTTTGTTTGCTGCCGTTTGAAGCCTTTTGAGAAACAGCGGCAAAGTGTTTCAAAGCTCAGGAGTGGTCGTGTGTCTACCTGTAACGGGCTGAGTCCGTTAGAAGGTATTTACATCGGGTTTTAAGACCTTCCGTCAAGTTTCTGGTAAAAAAATTGCTGGAACAAAACACAACATGATTGGCTTATATTAGGAGAGCAAGCTCTGATGCTCGCCCTTTGTAATAAGTAGTCCTGGATCAGTTACCAAACACTATGCTACAGCGGTCGCTGAAAAAGGGGTACAATGTTATTTATGTCTAGAGTGACTCAGTCGTATACTCTTGCATCGCGATCAGCCTTTGCTTAGGAGCGTCAAGTGTTCGCTTAGAGCATCTCCACCGCACCGTTGATATCATAGTTTTTATCTAAAGTGCTCATTCGCGTGGACTACACGACCAAAGTACTCAATCCATTTTTTCACACCTGGGGTGCACCACTATGAAACCTAAAACGCTTATTCTTGCCACGTTTGCCGTCCGTAGCAAACGCATTAAGGTAGATTCTAAGAAAGAACGCATCATGGTCAAATATTCAGGTGTCCAGATTTCGAAAGAGAGGTGCGTGCAAGTATAAGGTGTAGTTTTGATCGCAACTCAGTATGCGTAGGTTTAGAGACAGGTTTGAAGTCACTCCAATTTTGAAGTGAACGGCCGAAGATATGTAGTGTTTGTTAATAATGGGATATAATGAAGTGGTGCGGTGGGACGCAGTGACTTCAATCCCTTTAAAGTAGAGATGCAGCACGAGATGAAGTGACCCGGTAGAGGTACGCTTATGTGATCACATTCACCACTAATCGATTCTACGCCAATCACGTGCGTGCATCACAATGGTGATTTAGCCAAAAAGTGACTTCGCATATGCCGATGTACTCATGAGGGGGAGGGACAGGCTAGATCGCACTTAGTAAGTGTAAAGAAGACATAGCGGCGTTATTTACAGAAACATAGACAGACTTACAAATGAGAACAATTTAGAAATTTGGCATTCACCTTGCGCACAATCACTAATAGTGTAACGGGACTAAAACCCGTTAAGTTACTAACACTATGGTCTTACGAGGAAGCGTAAGAGACACGTGTAAGCGTGTGTCGTTTGTAGCTTGATTTCAACTCTGATTTTTACAGCTATATGTTTTAATTTAAATCATCCTAAGTACGAGTGGTCTCTGAGTCAAGAGAGCCACTCAACTAAAAGTCGCATCCTATTGGCTGATAATGGGTCTGTGCCCACTTACCAGCAGAGTATGACTACGACACACTGTAGCCACTACAATCGGCTACAGTGTATACCTAGTATGTAAATGTATACCTAGAAGGGTACACCTAAATGTATACTACTTAAAAAAAACTTTCTAACAAGTAGGGTAACGGTAGCACCCCGTTACACCACCCCCCACTCAAATCGCACTTAACGTGCGAAAGAACAAAACAAAGGAAACGAAAATAAGCATCTCTCCAGCGTCGCGCACGTCGCGGTGAGACAGCTTCGACTTGACAGCTTCACAGCATCATGTCTTCAAGCTTCAGAAGCACGCGTCGCCTCGACCAGCTCACAGGCGACAACGATGAACGCACGAACACCCCAGACACTTCGACAAGCGGCGTGACCACGATTGACCAATCACTGCACGCGTGTAGGCTCTACGACTGTACTGGCATCCGACGCGCACGCAGTGACGACGAGATGTGCCAATTATGGCGGCGATGAAGAGCGACGCGGGGAAAGCACGTCACGGTCACACTCGCCGTGACCCAAGCATTTCTGGATAGCATCTTGGACAGCGTTCGCGACGCGCTAGAACATGGAGGCGTCGCTCTTACAACTGGTGGAGCGACAAGAAGTCGATAGAAGCCATCGTGCAGTCGCTGATGTGTGCGAGCGGGTCTGCGACTTGTTTTGGAAAGGCGACAGAGATTGCTGCTTCATCCACTACTGTGAGGGTTGTAGACGGTGTACGTCGAGTAGAGTTGCAGAGCCTGATAATTCTGCATTGAGTAGTCTTCTACCCAGATACTCTATCAGACGAGGAGCTCCCTTGGATAGGGCGCTACGAGCGAGCGCTGAATCAGATGCTGACAGCGCGGCCAGTCGTGCGCGCTCTTTTGGCTAAGCAAGGTTTGGTGAGATCGAGTCATCGTACTCGATCTCGGTCAGCAAGTCCCGTTGCATCGCGGACCGTCCACATCGTGCGCGATCTCGGTCGCCGCGGCCTCATATGCCTGCACTACGCCTGGAACGTCTTTGAGAAGCGCCTTACGTGGCTCCCACGAATCACTCTCATCGGGGAAGCCGAGCCAGCAAACGCGATACAGTCGTGTATCCAGTCGTTCACGATAGCGTCACGGCGACGATCGCCGTGACGAGGGGACAGCTTCAGGTCGCGGTGATCGATAATACGATCCACGATCCAGCGTAGTATCCCGGCGCCGTCAACCAGTGGAGGAGGACCGTTGCGCTAGAAATGCGCACATGACTGCAGCGCCCGTGGAGGGGGAACTCGCTATGGTTGGAGAGGTCGCGGAGCAGCTCCGCGACGTTCGGCGTCATGTCGACTTCTTTGACAACGACGTTCACCAGGCTCGTGACCTGGCGAGGGAGGCGGACAGTCGCTCACTGGCGACTGAGACAACTGTTGCCGGGTTTGCTCGGTGGCTCGAGCGCCTCGAGCAGTCAAACGAGGCGCTACGGCGGGAGACCGCGACCTTGAGGGGTCATCATCCGCCTGATCCGCAGAGGCCTCCGCGACATCGATGTTCACGCTATGCGCCCCCGATACATCTATCTGCGTTGGGAGAAGAGGCGGGTGATACCGCTTGAAACGCCCGACATAAAATGTCGGATGTAGTCGCAGAGCCGTGGGAATGTCGGGATTATAGGCATCACCCATCGTCTTAGTCACCTTGAAGGGGCCAATAAAACCTTGCGCCAGTTTGTTTCAACCAACGTTGGTATTAGCCGTGTCTGAAATACCTGTTTTCGATAGTAGTACCTTGTCGCCAATAGTTAACTTCTCATGATTGGTGCGACCGCGCTTTTCAGCGGCCGCTTTCTGTTTATCGACAGCATTTGCAATAGCGTCACACACAAAACGCGTGACAAATTGACGCTGTTGGACAAACGCTTTGATGTCCGCCGATTCATTAAGACGATCGCTCGTCGGCGATGCCTCTGAGCACGAGTCAAGCGTAGGTGAAGCTCGTTGAGAGTGTCTGAAATGGTCTGAACGGCGCGTGAGGTTGATTGAAGACTCGGTGACCCACCAAGTCGTGTCGTCGACATTCAGTGGTCGATAATTGCCTCGCGTGGATGAGCGGGCGTGAGCAGTGATCACTGCTGTCTCGAAAACTGCCGATGTCAGTCCACTTGTGACAGACACAGTCCTAGGGTCGTTATGGTCACATGGCGACGCGTTCGCTGTTGTATCTTCAGTAGATGCCAGTCCTTCTGCATAGTCGCCACGGTCAAAATGTGGCGAAGTAGTCGCTGGAGCACTGTAACTCGTTGCCAGATCGTCTGGTATCCCTCCCCCACCAAGAGTAGATAGATCAGGTTTACCGAGAAGAACATGAGGTCGAGTATGACGAGCGTTGTTGAAGAATAAGGGTGTCAGTCCGGTTGACTCATGAACTGCGTTATTCATAGCAAACTTGATCATGTGGAGAAACGCTATCATGACGTGGACTACGCGGCGTAACAGCGTAGGGCGTCCTCTGTAGCATAGCTACACAGCTCCTCTAGTCAGAGGAAGATTAGCGCTCAACGAGCATGTTAGTTTTAAGAACTAAACTCAATGAGTCAACAATCGTAACGCTTATGGTCCTTGTTTCAGTTGACCAAACGATTCAGTGAATCGACAGCACTTGGTGCTCAAGAATGACTAGCTACCTCAGGGATGTGTTGCTAACTCTTAGTGATCAGCGATCAACGACCGAAGACGCCTCGCAAGGCACGTGTCTTTAAGATCCAAAGGGGAACTTAATTTTATTTACATTTAAACCTATAGAATATCTTAACCTGGGTCAGTACAACTACGATGTAACGGGGTGAATCGTTACATAACAATTTATAAGAAATTGTTAATAGAATATAACTATAAGAGTTATATTCTCAGAATATTGTCATAAGGACAATATTCTGTAGCACTTCCAAGTAGTTCCTAATTGGTTGATATAGGCCATTATATCAACCAACGAAGACGCGCCACGACAGACGCACGCAATGAGTGGTGAGCAGATAACTGATTTACACATTTGTATTTAGACATAGTTAGATGAAGATAAATAGTGATTTATTGCAGACATTAACTATTATAAATACAGTTCTACTTTTACTCTAACCGAGTACTCGCTTCTTCTTACCGTCTTCCTCTGCACGTACGAGTGTACGTGAAGTTACGAGGCACCGCCTTATTCTGTTATCAGAATAAGTAGCTTGTACTGTCACCAGTACAAGCTTCAGGGTGCCCCGTTACACCTGGTAGCACTTCGTAGTCCGTCCAAGGACCGCGTTCACATCCAACATGAATATGTTGGATGATGAAGATGACCAAAGCTTTCACGCTACGCGTGACGGCTACTCCCATTTGAGCGATGTCGAATGGGATGCGATTGAACGGATAGGTTCAACCATGGGCATCCATGCTGTTAGCGTCATGCTAGAGGCTCTCAATAGAGATGCCCAACATGCTACTATCGCCAAGTTCATTCAAAATGAACTTGACGCAGAACGCGAGAAAGTAGCCTTGCTTCACCAACAAGGTTCTCAACAAGCAGAGTTGTTGAGAGAACAAGGTGCTCAACAGTTTGAACTGTTGAGACAGCAGCAGGCTGCTGCTGGCGGGTCGATGCACTCGCGTCGGCCCGAGACTTTGAAGATTGACATCTCAAAGTATAGGGGGGTCGAAGAAGACTCCCTCTTGAGATGGTTCGTCGAATTGGATGACGCCATAAGGGCGCGTCGCATCGACGACGGGGATATGCAAGTTGCATTTGCCCAGTCAAATCTGGCAGGACGTGCCAAGACTTGGGCACTGGGGCTCAAGCTGCACGACCCATATGCGTTTGGGTCGTTGGAAGTCTTCAAGTCGCGGCTCAGACAAACGTTTGAACCGCCTAGAGCTGAGTTCAGAGCTCGAACCGAACTCTTGAAGCTCAAGCAGGGTAAGCGTGATGTGCACGCTTACGCTCAACATATACGACATCTCACGAGTTGTATAAGTTCCAATCCGGTGGATGAACACACGTTGGTTTCGGTGTTCATGCAGGGTCTTGCGGATGGTCCCGTCAAGACTCACCTGTTCCGGCTTGAACTAGATTCACTAGAACAAGCCATTTCAATTGCGGAGCAGGAAGACTTCAGTCTGAGACAGGCTCGCGCCAGCTCGACATCATATCGTCAACCGAGACGATATGACAACGGAGGTCCAGAGCCGATGGAACTCTGTTATGTAGAGAGCGAGAAGGCTCGCTCTACAGGCTACAAGAAGTTGCAGAGATGCAACAGATGTCAAAAGACAGGACACTACGCTTACGAGTGTAGTGCCCCTCGTCCAGTGTCTCGCGACACTGGGCGTAGTGACCGTCCACCCATGAGAAAGGGGCAGGGACGAGGGTCCGCAGTTGGTGCAAAGACGCACAACGGGATGGACCGTCAAAAAACGGACAGGATCAGTAGGTGCGGAGCACCCTACTGGTCTAGCAACGTCAAGAGAATTTGTAGGCCTCTTGATGAAGGTTGCTCCCAACACACAGACATTGTGCGTTGCTGCTCTAGGTAATGAGATCTCACTCATTACCTTGAAACTCGAAGTGACGAATAAGTTGTCCCTTCGAGCTCTAGTCGATTGTGGGGCGTCCAACAATTTTGTGCGACGCCAATCGCTAGAAGATGGTCACTTTAAATTCAGTGAATGTGACACACCTCCTACGAGGATGACGGTACGTCTTGCGACAGGCGCATCCGTAACCGTCATGAAGCGTATAGTGAAGATTCACTATACGCTAGAAGATACCCAATACGACGATGACTTTATCGTATTGGATTTGGATGACAAATTTGATGTCATCCTTGGAATACCGTGGCTCAGAAGGTACGAACCACGGGTAAACTGGCAACATCGGACAGTAACGATGCCTGCCGCTTGTTCATCAGATGGCCATCTGATGAACGTTTTGGAGCGTCCACAAGCGTGTGGATGTACTACGAGTGAGTGCGATGGCCTCACTTGTGGTACGGTCGTTAGTACGACTGCACAAAACCTTAGTGTACCAAACGGTTACACTTCGGAGCAAAGTTCCGGCGGCTGTGAGGAAACACAGGCTGCGCCGAAGGTCCACCACTCGAATAAGTCGGGTGGACTGGGACAAAGATGTATCCCTAGAGGGGAACATCTAGAAGAGAAACAATCGATCGCTCAGGTTAAGCGAAACGATAATCCTAGATCGACTGGAGAGTCTTTCGTAGAGGATCTCGCTGTGGTTGCGCAACCCCAGCTAGAGGAAGTAAAGGGAATAAGTCCCAAGATTACAAATACGGCGGAAATAAGTTCCCCGAAACCCGCGGGAATAAGTCCCCGGGAAGACGAAGGAATAAGTCCTTCGAAGCCTGAGGGAATAAGTCCCCAGGAAATGACAGAGACATTGAATGTCATAGTCAATAACGGATCATGTGTAGGCGCTTATACACTTGATCTGATTGCGCCTCCGAAGTTAACTTCGGAGATCACTCAGTTGCCAACGCTCGAACATAAAAGGTTCTTGCGTGATCTGCGTAGTGGCAAAGTCAAGCAGATCTGCATACTCGTCGCTGACGACGAGTATGTAACCGACATAAGGTCAGCAACAGTGTTTACTGAGAACGAGAGAGTTCTCAGTAGTTCATCTATGGACGAGAGTGTCCTAGATGAAAAGACACGAATTGAGCGATATGAGTCCCAATCATGGGAATCGCTCAAGAAAAATCCTCTCTATGAAGATTTGGTTGAATTCAAGGATGTATTCCCTGAAACTGTTCCGTGCGAATTACCGAAGGATAAAGGTATTCGACACGAAGTCGAGCTTAAACCAGGCTCGAAGTACTGTGTCATGAAGCAGTGGCCACTGCCTCGTGAACAAGTACTTGCGATCGACAAGTTCTTTGCCGATCGTTTAGCAGCGGGCCATGTGAGGGAATCAACTTCCCCACATAGCTCTCCGACCTTCTGTGTGCGAAAAGCAACAGGAGGGTGGCGGATAGTGCACGCGTTTAACAAATTGAACGCTGCAACGGTACCGGCTCAGACGCCGATACCGAGGAAGGACGTAATCATTGATGGTATGTCAAAGAGTACCATCTTTTCGTCCATGGATTTGATGGATGGCTTCTATCAAATCCTAATGCGGGAACGGGATATACCCTATACCGCAGTTAGCACGCCTAGTGGCATGCTCTGGGAATGGCTAGTAATGCCACAAGGGCTCAGTAATGCCCCTGCCACGTTCAACAGGTGTGTATCACATCTGTTGAGGCCAGTACGAGAATTCGCGCCGAGTTATTTCGATGACGTATTCATCCATAGTCGAGCTATGGATGGAAAGTCGGACGTTGAGGTTCACAAGTACCACGTCCGACAAGTTCTTACAATCATGCGAAAGCATCAATTGTATGCAAACCTCAAGAAGTGTATATTTGCAGCAAGCGAAATACCACTTCTTGGGTGCATCGTTGGTAAGAACGGTGTACGTCCTGATCCCGAAAAGATCAAGGCGATCACCGACTGGCCCGTGCCGGTCGATGTCAAAGGTCTTCGAAAATTCCTTGGCTAGCGGCGTATTTGCATAAGTATTCACGCAATTACGCCGAGATGACTGTACACCTCTCTCGTTTGTTGAAAAAGAACGAGAGGTGGTTATGGAACGCTGAATGTCAACGCTCCTTTGAGGGTATCAAGCAGAGCTTGATACAATCCCCAGTCCTAGCAATAGCCGATCAGGACAGGCCATTTCATGTGGTCTGTGATGCCAGCGATTTCGCAATCGGCTGTGCATTAATGCAGTACGACCTTGAAGGCGTTGAACGCGTCGTCTGCTATCAGTCGCGTCAGCTGCAACCAGCTGAGCGGAACTATCCAGTGCATGACAAGGAACTCCTTGCCATGAAGTATGCACTCGCGAAGTTCAGAGTCTATCTATTAGGAGATAGACCCTTCGTTGTTTACACTGACCATGCGTCCTTACGCACGGCAGTGAACAACCCGCACCTTTCACAACGAATGGCGCGGTGGTTGTCATTCTTTGCAGAATACAACTTTACGGTCGAGTACAAACCAGGACGACTTAATGTCGTCGCTGATGCACTCTCACGTCGTCCCGACTTTGAAACAGTCGCGAAACCCAACAGTGAGACAGTCACTGTTGCGGTTATGACGTCCTCAGTTCCATCTACAACGTTGTATGATGATGTGAGGCGGGCATACGCCCAAGATGGTGAGATAGTGAAGTTGTTGTCACATCTCTCCCAACCATCTCGAGAATCGTTGAAACGATTGTCGTCTGCGTATCGATCTGCATCAGATCGATACACTACTCGTAACGGTTTACTGTACTATACAGCCGTTTCTGGTGACACACCACGTGTTGTCATTCCAGATGATATTGATCTGCGTTTGCGGATCATGTTCGAGTATCACGATGCTCCTATAGGAGGACATCGTGGCCGAGAGAAAACATATCTCACGGTAAGTCGAGACTTTTACTGGCCCCGCCAGTATCAGTTTGTGCGAAAGTATGTTCGCGCATGCGAAGTCTGCCAACGAGTGAAGTCAAGTCCTTCACTGCGTGCACCTTTACAGCCTCTACCGGTTCCGGCTGAGTGCTGGGAATCCATCTCAATGGATTTCGTCTTCGGGTTACCCAAAGACGCACGCGGGAATACGGGTATTCTCGTATTTGTTGACAGACTCAGCAAAATGGTACACCTTGTGGCTGTACCAGAGACAATCACGGCAAGTGGCTGTGCTTGTGTCTTTATTGACACCATCTTCCGACTTCATGGGTTGCCCCGTGAACTCGTATCAGACAGAGATCCACGATTCACTGCTGATTTCTGGCGTTCCGTGTTCAAATCACTCGGAACGCGCTTGAAGATGTCGACATCTGATCATCCAGAGTCAGATGGTCAGACGGAACGTGCCAATCGTGTCCTTGAAGAGATACTTCGAGGATACGTACACTCCTTTAAGAGTTGGAGTGAGTTTTTGCCGATGGTAGAGTTTGCCATCAACAACTCGGTGCATGCGTCCACGACACATACACCGTTTTACGTGAATGGCTTGCGCCATCCGCGTGTACCCACCTTACTAGAGTGTAACTCTGGTTTAAGGGGGGAGGGACTCGCGCGAGCAAAAACCGATTTGGTTCACGCTCATCACGCTCTGACGAAGAAGTCATTGCGTTTGATGCCGATATCGATAACATCGATATCGAAGAAGATGATGCCAGTGAGAGTGCGGAAGCCCTCACTGAAGACAATGATCCCAGTGAGAGTGCGGAAGCCCTCACTGAAGAAAAGGTTGTTGTCGCTGCAGTGCGCTCACAGCACACTGAAGCTAACGAGTCATCAGATGAGTTCATACTGGCTCGTGAAACGGTAGTCCGTTTTGTGCAAGACTCCATCGCCGAAGCGGTGGATAAGCAAAAGCAAAACGCTGACAAGAATGGAAGGGCAAACACTCTTTTATTTAATAAAGGTGACTTAGTCCTACTGTCTACGGTTAATCTACCAAAACATGTAGTGACTAACTTGGGTAGCAGTAAACTACTACCCAAGTACATTGGCCCATTTCGTGTATTGCACCGCCTAGGCAATGCATACACGATCGAGTTACCACGTAAGATGCGAACGCATCCCACGTTTTACGTTGGTCGGCTTAAGCCGTACCATCAGTACGCTGCTTCTTCCGATGAAGAACGCCCTTGCGCTCAAGCATCTCGCAGAGAGCCTTGTGCTCCCGATGGTGGGCATCAACAAGGGTCTGAAGAGCAGTTATCTCAGCCCGAGACCGATCAACAATCCCACGAGCTACCCTTAGCTCGTCACGAAGAGATGTCAGAGATCTCTCGTTCTCAAGCTGAGCAAAGGCAAACTCAGCTCGATGCTTCGAGGCAGTGTCCACCATCTGGAGACGCCTATTCCGCTCATGCTCGAGATCGTCGCGTAACCCTTGCGTTACGCGATCAAAGAAGCTCTCGGGAACACACCGATCCACATGATCGTGTGGAGAGCGTCTTTCCTCCTCCTCCACCTCCATTAGAGGACTCTCGCGGTGGCCAGCGCTATCTAGTTGAGCAGCTGTTGAACCACCGCGACGTGAACGGACGTCGGACGAGTTACCTCGTCCGGTGGCGCGGCTATCCCCCGTCCTGGGATTCTTGGGAGCCCCGCTCCCAATTGATGGTTGACGTACTGGGTCTGGTCGAGCAGTACGACGCGACACATCCTGTGCCGCAGAAGGACCGCCGGAGAAAGTCTTCCCGGCACGGTCGTAAAGGGATTTCAGGTTGTCAATCCCTTCGTACATCTCAGTAGAGACACGTACGCGCCACCACGGGCTGGTAAGGAGGTAAGCCTCCTTAGGTGCTCGTGCAGAGTTGTTCACACAACATGGGCACGAGTCTCCCCAAGAGAGGCAGGGAAATCCTTTCTCCCTTGACAGACGATGCAGCTTGTAGCGTGCACCTGTCGGGGTTCGCTTTTCAAACTTATCACGAGCTTTGATAAGTTTGTCGTTCCAAGCGTCACGACCTACATCCTCGAGATTATGGATGTAGGCGTTCCACGCCTGAAGTAGTGAGGGACCATCACGTTTGTGATTCCCACTGTACCATCGATGTCTGAAGAAAGCATCGATGAAGAATTCATGTTCAGCGCGATAGTCTTTCGCGCTGGGGTCAAGGTGATGAATCCTTGACGAATCGAACAATCGTGTTCGATAACGATCACTCGTCGTCGCCGACAAGTGATCCATGACAGATTTAGGAGGCATCCATGCCTTCTTTTTCTGGAGCGAGACGCAACACATTGCGGTCCCGCTCTTCCTGCGACGTGCCGACAGAAGTACTGGCACCTCGCTGTGAAGTGGTGTCCATTGGAGAAACGACACCACTATTAGCGCCCGAGTCTCGCGACCTCGAGCGCCTTCGCTTCGGCGATGGTTCATCTGACTCATCAGATGAACCAAAGATGCTGCGACGCAAAGCATCGTCCATGCCACGCTTGGCAGGCGGCTTGGATTCAATTGCCGTCGATACGGATCCGTCATCCGTATCAGGAGAGTACGAGACACCGAGCTCGTACTCTGTGAAGACACGAGTGTCTTCATGACCAGCGCCTGCATCACCAGGTGATACAGGCTGAGTCGATTCAGCAACCGATGGGACATCAGTTGCTGTAGTTTCTGCTTCGGCGTCCGCACAGAGACGTGCAGACGCGCTCTCGGCGGCCTTGCTCGCGCATCGCATGGGCTTGTTTACCATGCGATGAGATGTTGGAAAGTGGACGCGGACCAACAAGTGCAAACCCCGTCCCAAATGATTTGGGACGAGTATCCATTTAGTCAATCAGTCACTAAAGTGACTGATGGTTAAGGGGGGTGATGTAACGGGGTGAATCGTTACATAACAATTTATAAGAAATTGTTAATAGAATATAACTATAAGAGTTATATTCTCAGAATATTGTCATAAGGACAATATTCTGTAGCACTTCCAAGTAGTTCCTAATTGGTTGATATAGGCCATTATATCAACCAACGAAGACGCGCCACGACAGACGCACGCAATGAGTGGTGAGCAGATAACTGATTTACACATTTGTATTTAGACATAGTTAGATGAAGATAAATAGTGATTTATTGCAGACATTAACTATTATAAATACAGTTCTACTTTTTACGTTAACCGAGTACTCGCTTCTTCTTACCGTCTTCCTCTGCACGTACGAGTGTACGTGAAGTTACGAGGCACCGCCTTATTCTGTTATCAGAATAAGTAGCTTGTACTGTCACCAGTACAAGCTTCAGGGTGCCCCGTTACATACGATCTTTCTTTTCTGGTGGCTGACACCAGTCAGTCCCTATCAACCGATAAGATGTTCGATATCTCATTCAGTGGGATATCATCCATGTTTATAAGACACAGGGTACCAGGTACCCAACTACGTGTCCCCTTTTCAGTGTGCCACGGGTATGTGCTGCTAAAAGACAATTTCTTAATCGCATCGTCCACTCGAGATTCTTTCTATATCAATATGATCATCAAGAGGCGCGATTTGGATGATCTTGCACACAATGGTAGCTTTAGTTAATCAAAAAATGATTTCCAACGAATGCATTAACATAAAACTCTAAAGATTAGAAGTCTGTGTGCACAAGTAATCATGTGCCTTAATTAAATATAAAGCAATGCAGGATACACTTATCGTCTTTTCACTTTTTATAGAGAACAGTAAGGGAAGTCGTGCCAAGTTGTAATTAAGTTGTATGCACATGCGTCACCCAAAACTAATAGTCCTAACTTTACGGTTAACGACAGCATCAACAACATAAAAATCGATAGGAAAGCAGAAAATACAAAGCACCTGGCAATAAAAATGGGTCAAAGGCGCAGCAAAAAATCTGCTGAGCACGAACTGGAGACCAAGCATCATACTAAAGACTTTTGTAACCTTAACTCCCAGAAAGCATATTTCCAGTAGCTTCGGGTGCTTACGAAATTGCTTCACCTGGGTGCAGCTTATACTTCAGTTGGGGTAAGCATTGGCGTGCTCT